CACTGGTGGAGAAACTGTCACACCAGCTCCCGACTCTGAAAATTGGCAATTAAAAGGAAAGCTTTAAACACACTTGTCCTGTCTCCTTTGACAGCCCGCACGTAGCTCATCCCCAGTTAACAAGGCAGAGTTCTTCTTAAATAGAAGAACACCAAGCTATTAAAGGAAGATCAGAGGAGAACATGAGAAAAATTACCCACTCTGAGAACTCCAATTAAGTAACTAACACGATCCCAGCTCAGCTGAGCGCAGGAGCAGGGGGAGGCTTGTGGAGACAGAGTTTTCCCCGGTGGACCGCGCTCTCTCTCCACGGGAGACCCCGGGTAACAACCCAACATTCAGGCCTGCAGGTGGGATAGCCTGGAAGCAGGCAGCATCGACAATGAAGGGGGAGCGTACACAAGAGGGGACCTTGCTTTAAAAAGACAGGCACTGTGGGTTAGGGGTTAAAGTAATACACGGCTACACCTTGCTTTCAAGGAGCTGGGAGCAAAGATCAACAGCAGAAGCAAGCACCCCACAAGGTGCCAGTGGTTCAGGGAGGCAGTGATGCACGGGCCTGGGCTCCAGGAGAAGGCATAGCGAAGAACCCGCCATGGCAGGGACAGCTGAGGTGGCCCCGGGTCCAGCTCTAACGCTGGTCGCCAGGCAAGAGGCTGGACCAGCATTCTGCAGGATGACGCCGGCTGTCACACCAGGGAAGACCCCCACAAGGCAAAAACACCAAGAGAAGCAGCAGCTCCCCGGGGCTGGCGGGCAGGGCTCCAGAAGCGTCTGTCCGGCAGGCTGCAGAGTCTCCCTCCGGGCTGGCTCAGCAGGTGCTGGCACAGGTGTGCTGAGCCTCTGCCAAGAACGCAGCATCTCAAGGGCCACTTCCTCCGAGGGAAGTGCGTGGCATGGCTCGGCACAGCTAAAACGAGCCATTTCCCAGCTACTGTCAGGCCGACACCCGCGCCTCTGCAGTATCAAGTTTTCGATTCTGGGAAGATAACTTTTCTTAGAATCACTAATCAAGGACTGGGCATGGGCTCGTTTTCTACATTTGGTGGGCACAAGGCCAGTGCCAAGGAAGGGCAGAAACTACCGGTGTGCTACGACTGCTCCAGATGAATCTCGGACAGAATGCTGAGCAGAACACGGCAGATTTTCACAAGAGAGCACAAAATGACAGCCCCACTCAAGTTCAAAGAAATGGGCAGAGCTTAATGACAGTCTGACAGGCTGAGGCAGGAGGATTGAGAGTTTGTACCCAGCCTGGAAAACTCTAGACCCTGTTTCAGAACAAAAATCAAAAAGGCTGGGGATGCAGTTCAGTGTGGCCCTGGGTTCCATCTCCAGTCCCAGAAGGAAAAAGCCTCCCATGCCCGCCTACAGGAACAGTGTCCTGAAGTTCAGAAGAGCAGCTCCACTGGGAAGGTCATCGACTGCGGTGTGGAGGGGACGGGGGAGGCTCTGCGTGACCTCCCAGCCCCTTCCAGGTGGGCGGCGGTGACACACGTGTAAAAAGCATGCCTTTTATGGAAATGAATTCAAAACGGACCACAGACCCAGCCCAAGTGAAAACAGGAAACTTGTAGGCGGTCACACAGGACAAAACCTCGAGTCCGAAGATGACATTTTACACGGCACCACACACAGTCCGTGAGGAAAGTGGCAGGCTGGACCTCACCACAGTGAAACACTTCTGCTCTGCAAACAGGCTCACAAGAGATAGAAACAGATGAGCCTGAGATGAAGAGAAAAGATTTGCAAAGCGCATGTCTGAAGAAGGAGCAGAAATCCTCGTCTGGGCGCCTCTGAACAGATGCTTCGTGAAGAAGAATAAAGGTGGCCAAGAAGCACCTGGAAAGACGCCCGCATCGAACATCATTAGAGAGCTGCGAACGATAACAAGAAAACCACCACTCGCCCACCGCAGTGGCTAAAATCCAAAGCACGGACAAAACCAAGTGCTGGCACGGACACAGAGCAACAGAATTACTCACGCGCTGCTGGTGGGAAGGCAAACTGCACAGCCACTGCTGGAGATGACTTGGCAGTTTCTCACAAGACTACGCCTCCTCTCACTACCTGCAAAATAACAATCACATTCCATGCTCTCTACCCTAATGAGCTGGAGGCTTAAGACTCCGAATCCTGCACTCAAATGTTTGTAACTGTAGTCAGAATTGCCAAATGCTAGCAGCAACCAAGACTAGACAGATGGATAACTACATACAATGGAATATTCTCAGCAGTGGAAAGCAATGAGCCAAAACAGGCCTGGTATGCAGGCCTGCAATCCCAGCACGCTGGGAGGCTAAGGCGGTGGGGGGGTTGCAAGTTTGAGCCCAGCACTGGCAATTGAACAAGTTAGAGCTTGTCTCAATTTTTTTAAAAAAAAAAACTTTAAGCAGTAGAGATAAAGCTCAATGACAATGTCCTTGGTTCAAACCCCAGCACCAGAAAAAAAATGCTATTCAGACAGGAAAAGACGCAGAGGAACCTTAAATGCTACAGACTAAAAGAGCCAATCTGCAGAGGCTTCCTGCTGGACAACTCCAACTGCATGATACTCTGGAAAAGACAAAATATCAGACAGGGTGAAAACCATCAGTGGTCACCAGGGCGGGGTGAAGGGGGGGAGCACAGGAAGCTCCGGGCAGGGATGCTGTAGTGAGCACAAGATAACCACAGCTGCCAAAACGGGGTGACGCCCAGGGAACCTCAACACAAACCATGGGCTTCGGCTAAAAGTAACGTCTCACTGTGGTTCATCAACTAGACCAACGCGATGCGTCAATGCAGGCTGCTAGCAAGCGGGGGACGGAGGGCCCGGGGCCAACAGAAACTCTGCGCTCAATTTTTATGGAAACCCACAACTGCTTAAAAAAAAAAAAGCAGTGCCTATTGTTTTTCTTAAATCACGACCCCGAACCCTGGAGACCCAGGTGCTTCACTGCACACTCTGTATCTCAACAACAAACAACTTTGCTGTGAAGCCCGTGAGACTTGATGCTGAACGGCTACAACTTTTGAGGGCCCTGAACCACGCCTGTCCCAAGGGGAGGCCCCTGCTCTGTGCTGTGGCTGCCAGAGGGAGCCCACGTCCCTGCACACCGAGCACCCGGGGCTGAGGCTCAGCTATGGGAGAAGTTGGAGACAGCTTTCCTTTTTATTCCTTGGATTTTAACCTACGAGTTTTCGATTTTGAATTTTAATTTGTAACGGCAAGAAAATTTGATTTGGGAGTGTAACTTCTTTGGACATCAACTGCAAGGAAATTGAATTTGGGGGCTTTAATTCCTGTCTGGGAAATTCACCCTGGGAAAGGCTTTACATTCCAGTCGGGGGTGTCTCTTCCGTGGCTGGCCTCTTTTAGAGTGATGTCAGTGCCAGCACTGAACCTCGCAGCAGGAGCGGTGACGTGCTAACTGGATACAGACAGGGCAGAACCGGGATGGGAACCCGGCTGAGGCTCCAGCAGGTTCCCACAGGGGCCTTGGAGCCAACGCACCCCGATTCGTCTTCAGGCCTTCTGGGGAGAAAAGCCAAACCCTTAGTCCTGGGGAGATCACCCGAGGAAGGTGGTTGATGGGCTGGGTTCTTCCCGGAGGACAGCAGCCACAATGCTGGCTGCGCAAACTGAGCACTAAGGCCAGAGAAACAAGCACGGATGGCCCCACACGTCACTCCCTGGCATCGCGGAGCCATGCAGGGACCTCGCTCCAATCTCTACCCCGTCTCCCCTTAAGCAGGAGCAGCTGGTGGGACTGGAAGCAGGCAGAGACAGAGCCGAGGCTGCCCAGCCCTCCCCAAGCTCCCTTCCTGGGTCTGCACAGGAGACGACGCTGGAGGCTGAGACAGACCTGCAGGTGAGCAGGGGAGAGGCCACAGCTGCTGCCCAGCTCCGGGGACACCACATTCATGGGACTCAGGGTGGATACCAGCGGGCTCTCAGACTGACCGTGTTCCCACAACCACTTCACTTAAACACAGGTAAAGGACAGTAGCCTGCTGAGCTTTCCCACCGAACTCCATTCTGACCACGGCCAAAAACCGGCGTCACCTGTGGCCCCCGCTGGCTCCCCAGGCCAACTGCTTGGCCGATGCATTCTGCTGTGTTTCCGGAGCATTTACCCTTGTTTTCAAATTTCTTTCCTTCTGTTTTTACTGAGTTTGCTCTGTTTTCTTCTCCCTGGTTTCTTGAGTTGAACCAGTGTCTTCTTCCCCCTCACAGATCTTTAGAACTGCAAACTCTCGGAGCACCTTTGAAAGGTGAGCTAGGCTAACCATCTATCATGGGAGCCCACGAGATCTGATAGCCACAGAAACTGCACAGACTCGAGCAGACGCCATGATGCTGCAGAGGCCGTCTGCGCTGCAGGCTGCAAAAAGCTCTTGCCAAAACCAAAAAACATGCATCTGATCAGGCAGCCAGGTTTTACTCCCAAGTTACAGGAAAAGAAGTGACCAGGGTCCCCTCCTAGTGTCAGATATACAAACAAAGTTGGACTGTGATGGACCCTCGACCGGATAACGTGGCTTCTTCAGCACAGAAATAAAGGAGAAAACAGAGACCAGGCTGGGCAGCAAAGCACGGGGCCAGGCTGAGGGTTCCACCCCGCCCTGCCGAGATGTGAACATGCCCCTCAGCTGTGAACGAATCATTTTCAAAAGCTGGCACATGACTGAGGCACTGTCACCCCTGGCTGGGCATTTGACGGCATTAGGCAGCACCTTCTGTCTCTCAGTGCGGCAACACTGAAGTCTTGTTATTTTCAAAAAGCCTCAACACCTTAGAGCCCGTAAGAGAACAGTTACAAGTGAAACGGCCACACCCAGGATTTGCTTGGAACTAAGCCGGGTCTGGGGCAGGCTCTGAGTGGGGTGGGGCATGGCTGGGAGGGGGGCCGCCGGGGCGGGGAGGCAGCCCACTCACCCACGTCCTGGACCCGGGGCCAGCATCTCGCAGCACCCTCCCTAGCAGTAACACAAAGCTTTCTCACGCACACACTTACTGGCGTCAAAGGAGCCGTCCTTGCTGATGGGGACGAGGACGTGGGACAGGGAGCCGGAGCTGGTCTTCCCAGAGTCCAGCGGGACCAGCTGCAGGCGCGGCGTGGTCTCGGGTGGGAAACGGTAGAACTGGAGGGTGAAATACACAGTCTTTGGCCACGGTGTTCCTCGGGAGTCCTGGGCCGCTCTGAATCCAACAACAGCTCCGAATTAATCAAGCGTCCACAGCAGGGCACCTGAGGAGGGACGCGCACGTGTGCAGGGAGACCGTCCAGGTCCGGGGAGTCACCCAAGGGAAGGGCCACACTGTGTCCTCGGGGAGCCAGTGGGCGACCGGCAGCCCCCAGAGGTGTAATGGCCCCCCAGCTGGAGGACACCACTGCCCGTGTCGCCCCGACATCTGAGTCAGGAACATGCTGTACACGGTTTAACCAAGGACAGCACAGGCAGAGCAGGCTTCTCGGCACCCAAGGAGTCTCTAGTGGGTCCCAGCCAAGATGAAGCTAAGACACTTGGGGGTTCCCAGGTTCCCAGCACAAAAAGTAAAAAGGCCTTAAGGAGAGGGAAATGCTGGTGACCGATCTGACTGTCAGGAGCTGTACCCATGATTTATCACAGTTTCACAATGCACCCCGTAAATGTCCACAACTATCATGTGCCTGTTTAAAAGTTCAAAAGAACTAGTTAATTACGTTAAACACCGGCACCTGAACACAGCGCCTGTGGGGACAGACCCACAACCCGCGCTCCTCCGCGGGGCACCTGGGCGGGCACGGAGGCCGGGAACGCGGGGCTCTACCTGCTGAAAGCCAGGAAGTGCAGCACGATCTCGTTGCTCTGCAGACGATCGCTCTCCTCCTTCTGCGGGTTGAACTGAGCAGGCTCCGCGGGGCTCACAGCTTCGGCGGGCTGCTCGCTGGCGTCCAGAATCTCCGGGAAGCCGGCGGACTGCAGGAGAGCCATGGTGGCCCGCGAGAGCTGGCCTCCAGCGCTGAAATGGAAAGAGTCCTCAGCCAGCAGCCTCTGGAGAGGGTGACAGAGACGCGGGCGTCCACGGCCCCTCTGCAGACAGCCTGCCATCAGAGTGACTGGTGAGCCAGCCCCGCGCCTGGCCCCACCTCTGCCCCGCCACACCTCACCTCCTGGGCTGGGCTCCCACGACTATGGGGGCGTGCAGAGGGGTGAACGGCAGCTCCTGTAAGTGTTCAGTGACAGAGGTTTCCGGGACGGAAGGGGTCTGGCTCAGGTCAGCTTCCAGGTGAGAGATCCTGCCCGCCAGCTGGAAGTCCTGAACAAAACGAGGGTCTCCAGGTGAGGCCACCGAGTATCCCAGCTGAAACCCCCCAAGGCTGCTCTGGTCTGAGGGGAGTCGCCACCCATTTGCAGGGTCATCAGCGACTAGAAAAAGTACATGAGACCATGTGACACTGCGATTTCACATGAGCAGCAAATAATTTTGGTACGTGTGCCCCGTGCTGTAAGTATGCTCGGGGCACACTTACACTGAATAATTATTCGCTTTTATCTGAAATTCAGAGTTAGCGGGGCAATCTTTATTCCACAGGGTGACCCGATTTGTGAGTCCAAAAACAAAGAATGAGGAAAGAACATCGGCCTGATGAGCAGGTCAGTACCACGGAGACTCCGGTGCCTGAGGTACTGAACTCAGTATCAAAAGCCGTGGATGAAGCAGAAAGAGCCCGAGTCCTTGTAAACAGCGAACTGCCACGGGGCCCGGCCGGTGTGCCTGGCCAAAGCTCCGGTCCCCAGGTGCCCTCAGGCAAAGGAGAGCCTCTGAGCACCTAGACCATGGGGTGGACCAAGGGTCATCACACCTAAGGTCACAGTGACCAAAGCCCTCCGTGTGAAGGTAGGCAGCATCCGCTCCATCCTGTCCCCGGGCTCCTGGCACAGAGAACCCACCAAAGCCCCCAGCACCTGGCTGAGGAACGGGGGGCTGGGAGACCCCCGGCTTCCACACAGCAGTCAGGGGCGGGGGCAGGGACACTTACTGTCTCAGGCTGGGGACCATCCGGTGGCTGTGGTCTGGGTTTGGCTGAGTGGCGCTGAGCCGGCGACAGTGGAGAAGCGGCCAGCTGGGAAAGTGACAACTGCAAGGCGGGAGAGCTCGAGTGAGAGGCGCCAGCGCTGCTGGTCAGCACACAAAGGCCCGCAGTGCGTGCACACAGGCCCCGGGCAGCAGAGACAGCGTGGGATCCAGCCAGCGAGGGAGGGCCCGCCACGGTGGGCACAGGCCAGGGAGCAGGGAGGGGAGCAGCAAGCATCAGCAGGGGCCGGGCAGCGGCGAGCCAGCGTGTCCTCGGAGGGGACAACCTTGAAGTCCTGAGGGCAGGGACCAGGCGCATGCCCTGTCCCACTGGCTCCCCAGGCTGCAGGGACCCCACAGGGACAGAGGAAGCGTTCTCTCACACCCAGAGCTGTTGGGATTGGGAAGCGGGCTCCTCTCGCCTGGACTTACCCCTGGTCCCACAGGCGAGTCTTGGGTGGTGGCAAGACCCTGGGGTGCGGGTGCTGGCATGCCTGGGAGGAAGCACAGGGGCCATCAGCCTCTAGGGAGCCCAGGGCACAGAGCCCAGGGCCTCGATGTGCGTCTCCACCCAGTCTCTAACACTGGGGCCCAGGGGGTCTGTGTGCAAATCCACCCACCTGCGGTCACTTCCCACATGCCACTGCCTACCTTCCCATGCCATGGCCTTCCTGTCCACAATGGGGGGTGCGCAACTGGACCCCAAGCCCAGCCTGCCAGGCCTACATGTGGCCCATAAGTGATGTGAGCACTGGGCGCTGCCAGCCCTGTGACTAGCCTGGTATCCTAGGAGCACAGCCTCGGTCCCCAGGCCTCAGTCCCTGCCTTGCCTGGCTCACAATGACAGGGCCCTGTCCACTATGGATGGACCCCACCCTTGCTGAGCCTCTCAAAAGTGGGACCCTCTCTGCGCAGGCCTTGCCCAGCTCACCACCTCACGCAGCTCTGCTGTCCTCCTCAGGCCTCTGCTGCCATCAATGTCAGCCAAAGGCATCCCACTCGCCACCCCTGGAACCCCCAGCAGCCCATGCCCATGGCCCCCAGCCCAGGCACGACCAGCTCTCAATACTGAGCCCCTACACACAGCACACCCCACTCTGGACCACAACAGAACAAACACAGCCACAATGAAGGGTCACTTCCAGAGGAGGAGGCAGCCCCACCTTAACCCCTTGACCATGCCCTGCACCTATCGGCTGATGCCTGCCCAGGGTACTTCAGTGGCTTCTGGAATCCAGGTGGAGGGCTTCCTAATGGTGCCCAGGAGAGGCGGTGGGGCCCGGCCAGATTGAGCTCCCCCACCTTGGCTGAGTCCACTGCCCCAGGTGCAGCTGGTGGTCCAGCACCTCCCAGGCAACACCCACTCACCCAGCCCCATGGCATCTAACGAGGCCAGCCACGATGGTTCCCGGGAACCCCAAACACAGAGGAGCCCTCTGTGGGGGACCGAGCAGACCCTCCAGGATGCCCTGCTGCCCAGGACCGGGTCACCTCTGAGCATCCCAGCTCCTGGACACCTTCTGCAGATGTCAGGGCCCTGCACGGCAGCCCACGGCCCACCTTCTGGGACCAGTAAAGGATGAAACGGGAAACCAGTGGGGTTCAGCTTCATCCAGCCCTCAGTGAGGACTCAGAAAGCTGCCCGGGCTGTTTCCAGTAAGGAGGAAAATTTTCAGGAAGTGGCTCCACTATCCTCCACCAGGAGAAGCTGTGCTTGGGAGCCAGGCCCGCCACAGCCCTGCACGTTTACTCCCAAGACAGTAAAAGCCTAACCGCGGCCCTGGCAGCTTTGCTCTGTTTCGTTTTTACCATTTTGTTTTTATCCAGATTTGGGGGAAACACCAACAAAAACAAAAAGCAAAAGAGACACAACAAAAAACCCAAAACAATAACAACACAGGCTTTCAAACAAGATGACGGGAATTTAACAATGGCTGTTATATTGCATATTGTTATATTCAAGAGTTGCTTAGATTACCACACACAGACATGCAAAATGGATCTTATCATATGAGCATTAACTCTTTCTTCCCAAGAACTAATAGAATTAATAGTATAATTATTAGTTACCTTATGGATAAACACCCCAATTTATTATCCTTTCACAATATTTATTGTAGATTTTGGATCTTGTTAACCCTTTCATTTTCTTACACTGGGGAGACAGTATGGTATTTACACAAGCAAGTCTGATTTATTTCACTTAAGAGTAAGGTCTCAAGGTGCATCCACTTACCTGTAAGAGCCTCCACACGATCCTTCTTTATAGCTGAGTAGTACTCCACTATATAAAAATAGCACACCTTTTTATCCATTCTGTGCTTGATGGGCACATAAGGTGTTTCCAAGGCCTGGCTATTACAAACCGTGTTGCTATAGACCATGCACACACATGGCTGTGGTGGGGTGTTTTCAGTTTTTGCGGGAAAATGCCTGGTGGTAATTTTAAGACACATGCTGTGAGCCGGGGCCAGCGGGCCACAGTAAGGGAAGCGCAGGCTGAGGAATTCCATCAAGACCACACCACAGCCAGGCTTCAAATCCCTCTGTCTTAACGCACATGCGGTGGCCGATGGCATTAGCTAAGTGGCTGCGTCCTGCCCCGGGGCCGTCGCTACACATTCTGTGTATCTAGAAAGGACTTCCGGTTTCTGCCGAGCAGTGCACGCCTGGCTGAGGCCACAGGGCAGCAGGTAGGCGTGTACGGGACACGCAGAACGCCCCAGGCAGCCCTGCAGAACAGCAGGACTCGGAGGACAGAGATCCCTGAGTGCGAGCTGCTGCATCCCCTGTGCAGCCCGGGACCACGGGAAGGCGGGTGCAGGAAGGCAGCCCAGACAGGGCCCCAGGGGAAGAGCAAGTCACCCAGCGCTGGGCACTGCGTGACCCCAACCATGCCAAGGAGAGAAAGATAGCAGCCACGCATGTGGCACACCTGCCACAAACCCGAGGCTCAGCACAGCCTCGGCCGCCCCTGTGGGATACACAGCGGGCTCCCTTTCAGGACTGTGGTCACCGTCACGTCTGCTGAGGTCCCTGCCTCGGCCAGTAGCACCATGATGCTGCCCAGTGAGGCTCAGCAGTGAGCCCCCGGGGGCAGCACCTGGCCCCACAGCCCCTTCTCCCTGAGGGTGCCCTGCAGGCAGGGCCCCTCCTGGCACCTGGCCAAGCACAGGCCTGGGGGTCGGGGGCACACCTTGGAACTTAGGAGGGTGGAGACCCCTAGATGCATTTCCCATGGCTGTGCGGAGCAGCTCTGGGCCACAGACAGGTCCCAGGTACCGGCGCTGACTGGCAGAGGCACGGACACTGCGGCCTTCAGCCCCGACACTCTCTGTGGCTCATTTTCCCTGACACTCCATTACTCTCCAGTCAGTCTCTGTGCCGTCAACAAAACCTCGAGCACCCACCCCAGTCTTCTGTCAACTGAGCTTCAGGCAGCTCACGGGCCCACGTGTGACAAAGCCCAGGCCTCAGGAGGCCAGACAGGGGCCTGCGCTCGAACCCCAACCGGGCGGTCGCATTCCTGCTGGGTCACAGGAGGACCCTCCACTGATGTGGCTCTGCCTCCTGGCTCCATCCAGGGAGCAGGAATGCCCCTCCCACGAGGCCTCTCAGACTGCACCCTGGGCATGGTGGGCAGTAAAACCTCCAGTGTGACAAATTCACACCAGTCCTCCAGGTCCCAGGGGCAAGAATCCTGCAGAAGGCACCGGAGCCGGGCGGAGCCCAGGGGGGTGCTGGACTGACCAGAGCAGGCCACGCTGCACCAGTGTCAGCGTGGGAGCACAGCAGACTCGTGGGGAGCTCTTGTCACGCCGGCACCCACCCCGGGGCTGTCCCCAAACCCAGAGGGCTCTGCTTCTCCATCACGGTCCCCCACCTGGTGACAGACAGGGCTGGGGACTGGGGCCTCCAGGTGCCATGCAACCCTCTCCCCTTCAGTATCACCTGCCCGTCCTGCTTAGCAACTCCAGGGGGCCCCAGGGAGCAGGGCTCTGTGTCTGTCACCTGTGCTAGGTGGCTCAGTGTCACCGAGCAGCCACTTTGCCCCTCAAGCGGTGCCTCCTCAGTAGACTGGCGTTTAAAACAAGGAAAGACAGAAACAAGGAGAAAGGGAGGATGGTGTTTTTACCGCCTCTCCCTTTCTGTGTCACTGACTGATTTCTCTGAAAACCTCTCTGTGGCTGCCGGCACTCGGCAGGGCCCAGTGGGGCTCTCCCCTCGCTGGGCACCTCGGGACTGGCAGCGGCTGAGAGTGTCCCTCCTGGAAATGCAGACAGGGTCCTCAGGCATCTCCCACTAATGACCCTGCCAAGGACGCAGCAGGAGGAGAGGGTCGGCTTACCAGATGGGAGAGCCACAGCCCCCAGGAGGACCCAGCAGGGGTGGCGGGTGGAGACTGTTGCCTAGCAACCTGCAGCAGCTTGGCCGAGGCAGGGAAAGGGGCCGCCAGGCAGGGCAGCCGCGTGGAGAGAGGTGAGGAGGGGCCACAGCCAGGGCCAGGACAGAGGCAGTCACTGGGACCTCGGGAAGGAAGGCGGCCAGCAGAGTCTCCTTCTTCAGACCGTGAAAGAAAGAATCACCAGCTAACGGTGCCCCAGACTCAAACCCTTCATAAAGGAAACCAGTTTGAAAGGCCTTTGTTCCTATTTATGGGAAGAAGTCATTCTTCCTAAGACTTTGATCCCAGGAATGGGAAAATGGGCGAAATCGAAGAACTAGAAGGAGATGGCATAACAGAGTGGGCATGGGTCCCCAGGTTGAATCCGGCATCCCCAGGACAGCCGAGCTCAGCGGTGCCCTACAATGGCTGATCGGGCCCAGCATGGTGGCCTGAAGTCCCCACAAGATCTGTGTCCCAAGGTCCTGACCCACATCGAAGCCGGGCTCTGAACCACGCTCATGAGCCTTCTCCAGCAAGATGTGCCCTTCCACGGCCGGCTGTGCCGATGTAAAAGGCTGCCCAGAAAGCAGCCTGGCAGCTTCCCAGCTCCCCGGCTGCTGCGGACCTGACCCAACTCCCAGAGGCAGCCCGGGAGCGCTGGCCGGAGAGCCTGTTCCGAAGAATTAACCACCCCACGGCGGCGCGGATGCAAGCCCGTGTGCCTGGGAAACACGGAGGTCGCATGTCTGCGATGACCCCTGCTGCAGCCGTGTTTTCAAGCCTAGAAACAAACAACCCCAGAGATCAGCGCCACGGGAACCTTCAAAAGCAAAATATGGGTCAAGGAAATTCTGAGTCACAAAAGATACAGACAAGGGCGCCCCCTAGTGGCTCCGAGGCGCGCTTTCCTGGCGCGGGGAGATGATGGATGGACCTCGGCTCCCTGGCAATTTTATAGGAAAAATAAAAGGATTATTCATAACAGGAAGCCCAAGTACCTCACTTAAAGTGACAGCCGCATATCATTAAGATTTCCAAAGGAGTCGTATAAGCTGGTAAAATATTGAAGTATGAAAAGTTTCCATCATAAGTTAAACAGCAGTGGATATTTAAAAGTCTCTCATGCTCAGTCTGGAGAGGCGATGTCTTCAAATGCCTGGAGCCCGAGCCGGAGGCCATCACATTAGCATGACATGGACGCAGCCATAAATCCAAATTAAATACGCCAAATGGAATCAGGTTCTGCCGTGGTATTTGCCCCGGCGCCCTCATGCAACAGCTCCATCTCTGACCCTTCCAGTGACCGAAGCAGGCTCCTCCCAGCCAGGGAGGGAACAATAAATCTTTGGGTGCAGACTTGAAAGTGTGCAGGCCCAGAGCTCTGCATCTTAGGCCAAACTGCCGCTGGGTGTGGGGAATCACCCCTCGGGCAGCAAGTGCCCGACCTCTCGTGACCGCTCCCGGTCTCACCAGCTCTACCGGCCCCAGCACAGCCAGCGGCTGCCGTCCCTCTGCCCCTGCCAGTCCCACACAGGTCCACACACCGCGCGCGGGAAGAGCGCAGGGAAGAGTCCAGGCCACTCGCTGGACAGAGGCAGGGTGCCGGAATGCAGCTCAGGGAGGCCGGACCCTGGAGCTCAGTCCCGCATCCACGGGAGGACGGGGCCTCAGATTCCAGTTCCTTCCGCCCACGCAGCCACCAACCCCTGCCAGCTTGGCTCACCCTGAATCCGTACTCTCTGGTGCTTCCCTTGGGGAAATCACTCAAGCCCTGCACTGAGAGGATGTGACCCAGGGCCCAGTGTCCCCAGCTCTGTCCCCATCAGCTGTCACCGGGGGAGGGCGGGTGACAGCAGAACGAGGAGTCCTGTACTGAGGACTCCATGACAAACTGGGTAGGCCAGCTCTGGGGATTCTCAAGCCCAGGGATTACCCAGGAGCCCCTGGGGTGGACAAACGGGAAAACTGCTAGAAGGAGTTAACTCTGAAGAAAGGCGAGATGCAAGGGCAGGGGACAGGGCACGGGAGAGACAGACAGACAGATGGACATCGGTGACATTATGTGAGGACTCGGAGCCACCAGGCCTGACACCAGCTCTGCCTCAGGGCCAACAGATTCCTTCCCTTGTCCAAGCTGCTCGGAGGCGGGGGACTCTAATCTTTGCACACAGAAACAGCCTGAGTAATCACTTCTTCCACAGTGCTCCCTCCGCCCGGGCCAGGCCTCCCCTGGGCCGTGTAAAGGTGGAAGCCACAAAGTCCTCCTCACTAGTCAGACGTTGCACAAATACCTGCCTCTCCACCTCAGGGCCCAGCAAGGCCACCTCCCAGTCCTCTGTAGCCACCCACAGCCCGCAAGGTCAGAAGTAGTGTGTCACTCCTGGGTCAGACCCTTCTCGGGTGGACAAGGTCCTCCTGAGCCTCCGACGCTCTCTGTGACCAACAAACACAATGCAGTGCCACCTGTGTCCAAGAAGCCACCTGCAAGCCCAGCCCGTGTGCAGCAGGACAGGAGCCGTTTTGCTTCAAACCATCAAGATTTGGGGGTTATTTGTTACCCAGCAAAGTTGACAGATATACTCTGAGAAGAGGAAAAGGAGAAATGTAGACAGCATGCTATCATACAAAATAAACAGCAATAAATACGGGAAGCTAAAGAGAAAGCATTTCCATGTACGAGAGCCTTGGGTCGGGCTCAACAGATGTTTCCACCAGAGAAGGCCAGAAATGGCTACCAGAAGACACTGTTTTAATGTAGGACTATTTAAAAACACTTGCAAATTCTAGATAAAAAGGAAATTCAGGGCTGGGGATGTAGTTCAACAGCAGGCAGCATGCTGAGTTTGATCCCTAGGACTGCAGAAGGAGAGAGAGAGAGAGAGAGAGAGACTGGAATCAGCAATTTAGGAAATAACAATGTGATAAATGAAAATCTATGAAACAGGCTGACCCTATACTTAGAGAAGAACCGCAAACCCTTCAATGTTTTATTACTGAATAAAAAGAAAATAAAGAATTTGACTTTTCCAAACATTGATGACATTGAGACGGTGAAATTAAAAACAAAAGCACCTCGGGCTGAAGTTCATTAGAAATAAAGGGCCGGGGATTTAGCTCAGCGGCACAAGCGCCTGCCTGGCAAGCGCAGGGTCATGAGTTCGATCCCTGGTACCAAAAGAAAAAAAAGAAGCTAAGATTTGGGATTTAAAGAACAAGAGAACAGAGAGGTAGAACCGCGGCTGGCTCTCCCGGGGAGACGGTGACGCGGGTCAGCCCGCCCGGAGGGGAGGACACCCGCCCTCAGGCAGCCAACCACAGGCACGATCCCAGTGCAGCCCTGGACGCCACTGCCTGGCCACACCTCACGCTGGCCATCTCCCCAAGGCAAGGGGGACATCCACAGACCAAAACCTAAGCAGACTGCAAAGGCTGCCCAGGCTCCCTCCGGGATGGTGCCGCAGACCCCTTTCCCCGGCCTGCGGGGACGTGGCCTGTCCCTTCTAGGGCCCGCGGTAGAGGCCACCTCCTGGGAGAGACGGTGAGGAGAGACTGCAGGGCAGGGATCTGCAGACCGCGGCCCCAGATCAAACTGTGTGCGAACAGAGTTTTACTAGGGTGCAGCCAGGGTGGTGCCTGCTCCTGTCACCCCACAGTTCCCGGAAGAGGCCGCAGACACGGTCCCTGGGATGGAGCCGGAAACCAGCAGTGACAGAGCTCCCCGCACATCACTCTCTTGTCCCCCCATCCTGCTTTACCTTTGGTTTTTAATACCAAATTCCCCGAAAATAAGACCTACCAGCCTTGAAGACTAGAGACCAAAGACGCCAGCCGCAGCCACCCTACCCTGCCTTGGCAGAGCAGCCCCCGAGCAAGAGCACAGGGAGGCCGACTCTCCTGCAGCACCCTGGCCACCACCAGGCAACAACCAGCTAGGGCTTATTTTCGGGAAAATGCGCTGGACTTTACCTTTTGCACAGTTAGGCAGGTTTTGGCGACGCTAAGAGGACTCAGAGGTTCTGCCTGTCCCGTCCCCGTCCCCGTGCACACACGGCTGCCCCACACCACGGGGGCCAGCACGGTGGCCAGGCCCTTGCCCGAGCTGGCACTCCTGAGCGCCGAGACCCCCTTCCTGAGTCCCCCCGGCCGCCAGCTGCTCTGCTGTTCACCGTCCCGGCACTGATTCCCAGGAGCCTTTCCACAATTTTTCCTTCTAAGCCGGAGCCTTTGGCCTCACGTCCTGCCCCCTCAGAATCTCCTCCCTACGGCAGCTGCGTTTCTCAGTCACTTACTTTTCTGTTTGTCTGAGCTTCGTCCACCCAGCTCAAGAAAGCGCCCCCTCTGACCCCCAAGTCATAAAAATATTTTCCAATTCCAAACGAGACTCTTCGACCTCCTCAGCCTTTGTCCTCCATCCGCACGCAGCTCTCCCACCGCCCCACTCCACAGATGAGGAAGCTGAGGTGCACAGACCCCGAGCACACGGCCTGCTGCCCCGGGCTCCAGTCCCGCTCACAGACCACACGGCGGCTCGGGGCTTCTCAGGGCCACCCACACGCGCGCCTCCTCTCAGAGCTCCTTTGCACTCAACGCCACCTCCCAAGACTCCTCCGCCCCGATGCGTGCAGACGACCACTCTGTGTTGCAGTGTCCACTGTCTGAGGGACTCGGCCTTTTGGTTCTGAGCACTGGTATTAAACCCAGGACCTTCACACCATCCTCCAGACTCAGCCCTTTTTTTTTCTTTTTATTAGGGTTACTTTTCATTTCAAGACAGGGTCTCACCAAGCAGCTAAGCCCAAACTGGGCTCAGATTTGGAATCCTCCCGCCTCGGCATCCCAGAGGGCTGGGATTACAGGTGTGTCCCACCACACCCAGCTCATAAATCAGCCTGTTCACCGACGGCTGGGAGCAGCAGTGCTCTGAATCCCTGACCTTGAAGAGTTTGAAGCAGTTATTACAGCGGTGCTGGACATGCACTGCAGGCTGCAGTACGAGCTGACCACCGCGCGTGCGCGCGCGCACACACACACACACACACACACACACACACACACACACACTTGCACACACACGCGTACACACGCACACAACCTACCTCTCCAGTCTTTGCACCCCTGGAAGGCGGGGCTTGGGAGGGGGAGGGGCACGATTTCTCACCGTATTTGCATTTTCCTGATCCCTACGGACACAGCACACTCAAAGGCTTATTCCGTGCTCTGGTTTACAACTCCGGTTTTTCTCTTCCCAGCCTCTGCTCATTTTTTCTTTCTTCCACATCTACCTCATATTGATTTGGAAGAACTTTTTCTATAATCTCTCTTCTTTCTACTCTAATGTTAAATTTAAATTTTCTGAAGTTTGGGGATTCTTTTAATGCATCTGGAATTTATTCTGTGCATGCTGTGAAACCAGGGCTGAATGTCCTGCTTCCAGACAGCTGACTGTACCCTGTGGTCATCCAGTGACCACTCCCAACCCGGTCCCCAGAACCTCCTGGCGGTCCACACCCAGCCGATCCGGCCTAGCAACGTACGTCAAGACGGTGTGCACCCAGCTAGCGAAGGTGCCGTTGCCAGCCTTGTTAGTACTTCCTGTTAACGTGTGTAAGTGTTTTATTAACCCCAAGGTGGGGATGATGGCGTGGACCTGAGATTCCCGTCAGCCCGCCAGTGCACATAAAGCCGTCTGCCTTCTAAGTTCCTTGGCTCTCCCATCCGGCTCGATCCCACATTTCTGCAACATGGGGAGGGGGTGTCTCGGGTACCAGGTGAGAGTGAGGTAGGAGAACTAAGCTCTGGGGTGCTGTCGCACAGTGGGGATGCAGTTAACGGTGACGTATCAGAAGACAGGACTGTCAGTGTAGACAGGTAACGCTGGGGTCTGCGCACTGACTCTGGATCTCAGTGATCTGAGGACCATGAGTGTGGGCCACCACCCCGCACCCCACAGACAGGAGCAGTATGTGTGCATTAAAAACAGGATGGAAGCTGCCAATGACACCAGAATTAGCACACGAGGATGTTAACGGAGTTTACACTGCATCTGAAATGACGCTGGCGGAAAGGTGCCTGCCACCCACGCGAGCAGACAATTGAGCCACACCGCAGTTCCCCCCTTATGCACGAGGCGCACAGTGAGGGGAAACAGAATCAGGGGACCGTCAGATACACATAAAATACAAGCACCGAAAAGCGGCAGTTAAAGCCTTCAGAGCCTCTGCTTCGATGAAGGGAGGGAACCCACCAGGGTGTGGTCTGTCCCGAAGCAATCCACCTAAGTTTGGGGACCTGAATATTCTCAGCGAGCCCAGAAAATCCCAGATCAGGTAAAGAGAGGTCAGTACACCAAGCTCTGGGCCCCCAGAAAGTTCAGTTCACCCAGATCAGTTTCTGCAAACTACAGTCCCAACCCCTGAAGAGAATCACACACAGGGAGAGAGTCACGGGCTCCTCTGTGCCAGGACTCGAGCCACAGCCAGGAAAGTGGGCGTGTCCTGCCCGGACCAGGCACTGAAACTGATGCTGCCCTTCCCCATGTGCCCATCTGGACCTGCCAGAAGGCCAGGGTGACCCCGTGGCTGAAGTCGGCACCTCCCTTGCCAGGAGGGCTCCTGAGCCCAGGAGGGGGGCATGGCCTGCGAGGTGGCTCCAAGGCCACCTTCCCCCACATCTCCGTCACCACAGCTCAGGCTCCCAACCCCAGGGAACAGCCAGCCGCGGCTCTCCGCACCCACACTCCTGCGTGTCCATCTCCATCCTGGGCACCAGCGCGGTCCCTCGGCTCACACCCCAGCCTGAATCTCCTCCATAAAACCACACCTTCGAGCCCCAGGTCCCTAGTCACAAACCCTGTGTCCAGGTGAGCCAGAGACGCTTCGCATAGTGCCAAGCTGAGCTGGCCTCGAGGTCCTCACAGCCCTGTGGGGCACAGGTGACAGAGCTCGGGGCCAGGCTTTATCACCCCGTCCAACTCAGGGAAAAGTCAACCTACTGATTCCAATCAAGGCCCTCTGGGTTTTCCCACAGGAAGAGGGCACCTCACACCGCCACGTGCTTGGGAACCCAGCCCCAGCTGTGGGTAGGCTCACCTGTGGGGGGCGAGGCGGGCGTGGGGGGCCTCTTGCAGGGGCGAGGCTCCGACCGGGGCGCCTGGGTGTGCACTGCAGGGCTGTCCAGGCGCTCCTCGGGGCTCAGCGAGAACCGGAAATGCACCGTCCCTGCCTCCACTTGCTTCACCTGCAACAGAGCCAAAGGAGCCCTGAGGCCACCTTGCCTCGGCCACCGCAGGGACTCAGCAGCCAACACAGCAGCCAGCCCAGGCCACGCATTCTCAGATGATCAGTGAGCCCAAAGACTTATTAATCCAGGGTAAAAACGATCCACTGTGGCATTAAAATCCCAGCTCATATGGGCTATTCCAGAATGGAATTAATCCGAATAGAAATACATTTTAAATCTGTTTAATAAGTCCCACTACGTTTAGCTTCTTAATTAACATGGAAAACGGACTTTAAATTTTGTGTTCTTAAATATAAAAATTTAAAAAAAAAGAAAAAAAAAATAAATTTTGTGTTCTATGGGTTTGAACACAGGCACAGATGCAGAGCAACCAGCACCAGTCAGGATTCAGGTGGTGCCACCCCTTGAGCTGGGGGCACTCAGTGGCCACACCCCATGCCCACCCCCACCCCCCAGCCCTGCAGGCACCACCAGCTCGTCCAGTACCTCAGTTTGGTGTTGGTGACAATGTGCAAACAAAACTGTAAGGTTTATAAACACAGAACTCTTTTTGTTCTGGAAACAACCCACGTCCTGGAGCACATTAGGCAAGTGCCCCACCGCTGAGCTATATCCCCTGGCCTTCTTCACACTTTATTTTGAGACAAGCTGTCTCACCAAGCCACCGAGGCTGAGCTGGAACTTGAAATCATCCCGCCTCACCCTCATGAGGAGCTGGAATTACAGGCACGGGCAACCACACCCCAGCTACAACGTATGACTTTCGAGACTGTGTCTTTCTCTCAACGTGGTGCAGAGGAGGTCACCCAAGCGGTCACCCACATAATGATAGCACGCTCCTTTTCACTGCTGAGTAGTACTCCACTGTGCGGGTGTAGTGCTGGCTCCTGTTCACCACCCGTTAGGAGGAGCGGGGTTCTGGCCAGGTCAGTAACTATAAACACAGCTATAGTGAACTGGACACAAAGATTCCTGAGTGAAGCCCATTCTTCATTTCTCTAAGGTGAGACCGTTCAGGCATATTTAATTATAATGTTGTCTATTCAGTTGTATAAGAAACGCACACACTGTGATTTACTTCTGAACTATTCCATTCCTCTCTGCAGCTCCTTCCCCAGGAGCAGACTATAGTCTCCCCATTATTCTGGTCTCTGATCCCTAACCCACAGGAGGTGGCGGTGTGGCAGAGGATGGCTCTCCAGGGCTCAGTGGCTGCGTGTCTCGAGCCTCATTTTGTACGAGTTGTTCTCACGAGGGAAGCTGAGTTTCACCCGAGGCCCTGTCTTTGGTGAAGGACGGCTGTGGGCTCCCAAACAGACAACGGGAAACACAGCGCCGTCTTGCAGGGGACCCCAGCACTCACCCCATGTTACTCATTTTATAAGTCATTCAACTCGACCTGCCAAGGTCCCGTTTAAGCACGACAGCAGTGAGTCCCGGGCTCTGCTTCCCCGGACACGCTGGTTTTGACCAAGGTAACATCAGCCTTGTGGATGAACTGGGAGCTCACCGGCCTCTTCTGTTTTCTGGAAGAAACCGTGTAAAACAGACGTTGTCTCCCTTTAAATGTCTAGCAGAGCGCAAGGTGATTAGGCCTGATATTTATTTCCCTTCGAGGTTTTAAACAATGAATTACACTTCCATCATGGTTACAGAAATGACGGCTTGCCTGCCTATTTGGGGTGAATTCCGGCCGTGGACAGATGACAGTGATTTCCCGCCGTCCCTGGACCCCGGCAGAGCTGCTCACGGCCTCGCGGTGTGGGCTACACAGCCCCGAGTCTTCCGTTCCGAGCACTGCGATTTGTGTTCTCGTTTCGTTAGAAGCTCATCAGCTTGACAGCTCTTTTCAAAGAATCGGGTTTTCTGTTTCACTTTTTTCTGTTTTTTAATCCACTGTGTCTCTGTTTTTAATTTCAGAGGTTTCTGCTCTTGACTATTGACTTTTCTTCTTGCTTTAGGTTTACTTTGCTTTTCCAGGTTCTAAAGGCAGAAGATTAGATTGATCGAAGGTTTTTGTTCCAGTAAAAGGACTTGGCGCTGCAAGGCTCTGTCCAAGCCAGGACGCACCTTACACACTCCCCGTGCCGTGTCTCCATTTCTGTTTAGATCAGTCCACCGTGCGTTTTCTCTGGAGGTTTCCTCTTAGACTTACGGATTATTTACAAACGTACTGCTTGGTAATTTTTTGTTTGCTTGTTGTCTCTCTTCTGTTTTGTGGAACAAGGTCTTGCTGTGTAGTTCAAGGTGGCCTTGAATTCACTCCGTAGCCCAGGATGGCCTCAAACTCAGGGCAATTCTCCTGCCTCAGCCTCCCGAGTACTGGATGTTTAATAATCCTTATATTGTTATTGTTAATGATTTTAGTTTAATTCCACTGTGACCAGGTTATACCTTGAATGGTTTCAATTCTCGTTAGATTGTCACTGGCTTTATGCCTGGGATGTGTCTATCCCGGTGACCGTTCCTCATGGACTTGGGAAGCCTATTCTGCTGCTGGTACGTAGAGCACCAGCGAATGACGGCCGGATTCAGCTGGAGGAGGACGTCCTCCAGTCTTCTCCGCCCCTCGAGGTTTCTGGCTACTTAGGAAGGAGCGGCAAAGTCTCCAGCCTCAACAGCGGATTTCTCCGTTCCTCTGTTGGCTTCCACAGGTCTGCTCTGCATACTCTGAAGGTCTCTGCGGAACACAAACACTGTCCGCACCGTGATGTCTCCAGGCCACCGTGTCTTTCAGCAGCTGTGATGTCTCTCTCAGTTTCTCGAAACTTCTCTGACTCCAAGTCCACTTTGCATGCTATCCACGTGGTCCCTCAATTCTCTGTAATGTGTAAGTGAAATGCTTTCTATTCTTTGCTTTTAACCTACATGGTTGTATTTATTTATGTATGTATGTTTCTTTGTGGTTTGTCTTGCTACGTGGCTCTGTCTGGCCTTGAACTCACTAGGAAACCCCAGGCTGACCTCAGACTTGAGGCCCTCCTCCTGCCTCAGCCTCTTGAGAGCTGAGAGTACAGATATGTGCCACCACACCTAGCTACGTGGTTATATTTAAAATAAAAAGCTTCCTTTTCATGCAGTCTGACGATCTCTGACTTCAAGGGGATGTTTAGACAACTGACACTTAGATGTAATTATTAGTACTTTGGATTCAGGACCACCATTTTATGACTATTTGCTTCCAGTTTTTCATCTCGTGTCCCGTCTGTCTTTGTTACAGTTTGTATCTTGATGTCCCCCAAAGCCTCATGTACTCGTGGGTCGGGGGGTGGCTTTCAAAGGCGGCTGAATCTAGAGTTTGTGCTGATTCAGTGCTGCCCTGGCCGTGTGAGTGTTGCAGCCGCCCTGGGGCAGCCTCTGAACAATACAAGAGAGGGAAAGAGGCCTGCTCCTCCCTTCTGCCCTTTTGCTCTTGTTGCTTCTGGTATCTGCTCCACCAGCATGAACCGTTTCTCCCCTGCCATGTGCCACCCTGCCTCGGAGCCAGCGGATTATGGACTGAAACCTCCACACACTGTGAGCTAAACAAGCCTTTCCTTCCCTCATTCTGGGCGTCGCGGAGTTTGTCAGAGCAATGAGAGAAAAGTAACCAAGGCAGTCCTCTTTTTAATTCTCATTTTATCTACCTGTTTGACATTTAACTCTCTCTTCATATCTTATTTTGGTGGCCGCTTTAGGTTTTAAATATAAATTCCTGCCAGAGGTGGTGACACGCATCCGTAACCCCAGCATGGAGGAAGCTGAGACAGGAGGACTGCCAGGAGTCTGAGGCCAGCCTGGACTGCACAGCAAGACCCTGTCTCAAAAGACAAACGAAGAATAGGACTCGAGAACAAAAGAATGCTCTCCCTCCTCATCACTTCTGAGGCTCCACACCCCTATTTCCGACTGCATGCCCTGCTTCTAGCTGAAGAAACCCCTCCAGCAGCTCCTTCAGAAGGGGCCGGTGGTGGATGGATTCTCGTTCCCACACCGTGCAGGTCTTTGTGTAACCCTGCCCTGCTGTGAGTCTCTGGGGTCGGCACTCTGGGGTCCAGGGCTTCCTGCTCCTGCCTTTTAAATGTTCCCCGCGTCCTTCCAGCCTCGAGGCTCCTGACAAAGAATCCACGGCACCTGGGTGACCCATTCTCTGGAGCACTGCTCCTTTTCCCCTGGCTGTTTTCACGATTACTTCCCTTGCCTTCGGGTTCCAGGAGTCCGCGCATGTCTAGGCCTGGAGCTCCACATTTCTCTTTGGTGTTGACTCAACTTCTTGGATCTGGAAGTTCATGAGTTTTGCCAAACAATCCTTGTCTGATTGCTTCCTTGCATATTCTGTCCCACACCACAGGCCTTCTGTTCTCCTGGGACGCCGCGGACACGGGGTCAGTCTTTCGGTCCTGCCCCGCAGGGCGCTCTGTCCACTGTCTTCCAATCAGTCTTCTCTGCTTTCCAGCTGGACTCATGCCATGGATTCACCTCCAGGTCCACTGGTGTTCCTGCCATCACCACCCTGCTTGGACCCTCCGCAGCGAATTTTTAATTTTGGTTACTTTATTTTCAATTCTAAACATTCCACGCCATTCATTTTTATATCTTTTGCCTCTGTATTAAGACTTTCCATCCTTCCATTTGTTTCAAGGCGCTTCTTGAATGTTCTTACTTACAAAAGCATTTTTATAATGGCTGCTTAATGTCTTTGTCCAGCAGTTCCGACACTGTGTGACCTCAGTGCTGATGCATGTTAAACGTCTTTTCCCAACAAGTGCAGGTTTCCCAGACTCTCTGCCTGCCGGTTAACTTTAGACTGCGTTATGAACATCTCGGATGTCACCTTAGGAGAGGCTGAGGCTGCTTTAAATCCCCTGAGGAGGAACCGCAGACTGGGGGTCCGGGCTGCAGTTTCTGAGCAGCCTCCTGTGAGCAGCGGATGTGCGTCCCTAAAGCCGGCGCAGTGCCCACAGGTCTGTCCTGAACATGCTCCTCCCGCGGGCAGCTCTGAGACTGACCATATCTGCCCACAGTGCAGGGCTCAAACCCCTTGGCCTGCCCTTTGGGGTCAGAGCTACATGCCTGCAGCCTGGGAAGAGCCCGGGTTCTGTCAGCTGCTGCAGCCGCTCCTGAGCTCCTCCCGGGGTCCCCTCCATTCCGGGGCCTCTGGATTGCCCAGCCAGCCCTGCCTTACTGCACGCTTCCTGAGCCAAATCAAGGCCCACCAGCGAGGGGTGGTGTGGAGAGAGTTAGGGGCCCACTCTCACTACTGGAAGTCAGTCTGTAATGTCCAAAATTGGTAAAGTATGAAAGCACAATCAAAGCATATTATCTGGAAAACAAAGGTAAATATCCTAAGTCACAGTGAAGAATTGAAAGCAGCAGTTTCTAGAGACACAAATTATTTTGACAAAGCAGACAATCATTTGCTCAGGGGAAAAAAGGCAGGAGTTATTTAAAAAGAAAACATAATCATGATGTGTCACTTTGTTTCCCAGTAAACAACAATAAAATAATCATTAGCGACATAAACCCTAAAATCTCTTTAGCCAAAGACTGGGGATATTTATAACCTTTGTGCTTTTCTTAATCTGTGCCACTGCCGCCCACCCGTTAACTCCACGACCCCTGGGAACTTGCAGGTGCTCAATGAAAGGTCACTAGATGGACACAGGACCAGACAGATGACTGGGTCACCTGGCCGGGCAGAGGTGAGGACACCCAGGCTCCCAGCAGGTCTGTGCTGACTGGGAAACACGCAGAGGCCGTGCTTCACCATGCAGAGCCCACGGAGGCCAGGACACCAGTGTCACCTGCCGGATTTTCCATTTAGGCCAGTGATCCTCTCCCTGGGGCAACTCTGTCCCCCAAGAGACACGAGGCAGTGTCTATGTACACTGTGACTGTCACAACTGGGGGCGTCCGTGGCAGAAAGATGACACAGGCCCGAGCTGCTGCAGGTCCTCTCAGAGCACAAAGCAGCCCTGCAGGGATGCTGCCCAACCCTGAGAGGGACTGGGGCTGAGAGACCGCAGTGCAGGCGTGGTGCTGCCCACGGCAAACGGCAGTGCTGGGCATGCTGGTGTCCAAGGGACAGGCACACCTTTGCACACTTGTGCCACACACAGTCTGCACAATTACAAAAAAAGGCAGGACCCGCATGACCAGCCAAGACACATGCACACACACACAGGAAGGGGGCAGGCAGGGTGGCGATGGCCTCAGGATTTCTGGAGGCTATTTTCTAATAAGGGCCCCAGCCAGACCATGTGGGAAGCAGCAAAACACGGTCCCATAATGAGAGACATTTCTTAGAGAAAAGCTGCGCCGTCAGCTGATCCTCTCCTCGGGTCCCCAAAGCATCGCTCAGATCGTAAATAACAACACTGAAAATAATATCTGTTGCCAGAGTCAGCACAGAAGTGACACACCGAAATAGCAGGTACAGCCTCCCTCAGAAAGGTAACAGAGGGCTAAAAGGCCCAGTGCTCTGCTGACACCGGGAAGGACTGCGGGGACCCCACTACCGCTCAGAGCACCAGGACGGACCCGCACACAGCCAGGACACAGCGGGCCTCGATCATCGGAGAATGACCCTCCAAGGCCCCCCTGGGCAGGGGCAGCCCGGGGACGCGATGCCCACACGCAGCTTCGCCTGCCCGACTCTCCCTGCTTTCCAGGTTGCAGTGTGGGAATGTTCATTTCAGAATGTTTCTCAAAACCTGGGGATTTCTGCCACGGACCTGCGTCCATACAGCTGACAGAGCGAGGGCCACACAGGTGACTGACAGGTCACACACACAGGCAGGGGGCGAGGGGCTGACGGCTCATGCCACACAGCCCACCTGCCTGACCGGGGCCCCAGAGGCCACCGCCCAGGCTCGAAAGGTCTCCAGGGGGAACAGGGCCGTGATCAGTCTGTATCTGACTAGGACGCGGCCATCCTCTCTGCCTTTCCGGGGCACATCCAGGTGGACATCAGAAGCATCACATTACCTCCTCGGAGCTCCTGCTGTCTGAGGGCGCCTTATAGACCAGGCAGCGTGAGGGGCTGGGCCCGGGCCCACCCTGCAGGGGCAAGGTGACCCTTCCATCACTGGCGTCCAGTTCAGGGTTCCAGACAGCCCAGCGGACCATGCGCATGCTCGCCAGGTTGGACAAAGACGAGACGGATGCTGCCTGGAGTCAGAGAAAGGAAATCGAATGTGAGTTATCAGGAAACCACCAGGAAGGCGGCAGACATGGAAAATTCACCCAGAGCCCGGGAGCCAGGGGCAGGCCACCAGCCCCATTTTACATAAGGAACTGAGGCAGGAGACCCGGCAGCAGCCCCGAAGTCTAACCAGGGCCCCTTCCCACCCTTCTCTGGTTCAAGGGGGCCACGGCTCCCCGCCCTCCATGTCCAGCACAGCTGTCTCCTGTTCTCTCGAGGATGCATCTGCCATAGCAACTCCTCCTCAAATCCATCAGGACACCACCTAGGACAGCACTTTCCTGGGGTGTAGGGAGGGAGGGGGTGTATTCTAGGGCTGTTGGCACAAACCCTAAACATTCGATTCCTCAGTGTGACTCCCCAACATCAGAGGTCAGTGAGGTGCAGGCTACTGTGCTGCTCCTTCCCTGGCTCCATCACTGGTCCCATGACAGGAGGGGACCCAGAGGGACCCCTGGGCAGCCACAGATGAGAAGAGAGCCCCTTCCACAAGGGCCGAGCCAGGTCTTGACTCAGCAGTCTTTTAAGGTCGCCCCATTTATCCATGCATGTTTTTCTGAGTGGTGGGGAGACTACAGCTGAGCTCAGGTCTGTGTCGGAGACCAGACTGTCCCTCGGCCCAGCGCTGAGCACTGTGGTTTACACCTGGCAGAGGGCTTCGGAGGTGACAGGGCCCTCGGTCCTGTGATGCCTCTGTGGCCCTCGGTAGGCAGAGTGAATTCAGACAGCCGCCAAGGGCAGCACAAGCTGGGACAAAGAGTCCTGCAGACCGGCCTGGCCCTCACAGCCGGAGCAGCCAGGGAGCCGCAGCCAGCAATGGCACCCGAGGGCGCTCAGACAAGCCACTTAACTGCCACCAGAGAGCACAAACCTGGGCAGCTGTGGCCGCAGGAAGGGGTGGCCTAGAAGGAGAGAAGCAGCCCAGAGATGCCTGGGACCAGCCCAGGGTCATCCTCAAGGAAGAAAGACACCCGGAGAAGCCCAGACTCATGTGCCCAGGGCTGCCGGACCACAGCAGGCAGCCCCTTCCAGATACCCCAGTGCTGATGCCCTCCTCTGATTGCCTTGTGTCCACTGCAGTGAAAACCCACGGCTTCGAGGTGCTCCCCTGCCGCTCAGCTAGACCGAGAACCAGCTGTCCCCTGCAGCAGGCCCAGGCTGACCATCACCACGGCTGCACGGGACATCACAGGCTGGATGGCACCACATTTGTGCCCTGAGGGGACACACCGGGATTTCATGCTCTGCCCGCTCGGTGAGAAAACCTCGGGCCTGAAAGAACGTGCAGAGTCATAAGAAGCAGGAGCCGAGGTTCAGGACCCTGAACCACCCTCAGTGTTGGCAGCGATGAGCCTCTGGCCCAGCCACCGGCTGCGGAAGGTCAGAAAGGTGCTGAGCTGTGCCTGAGGACCACACAATGCTGGATACGAACCTGCTGACTTGTTTCTGTTTTTGTTTTTGTTTTCTGAGACAAAGTTGTGCTACCTACCCCAGCCTAGCCTTCAACTCAAGGCGATCTTCCTGCCTCAGCCTCCCTACTAGGGCTGGGATTGTGAGTTTGCCCACCACACTAAAATGACAGTATCAGGGAAAACTGGTCACCGAATCCACTTCAGGACTCAGCAGCATCAAAGCCACCTTTGCAAACAGCCATCTGTGAAAAAAACAAGCTTATCACAGGGTCAAAAATAAACCATGCCGCTGAGCTGTGAGGCTATCTGTGCAACTCCTGGCTTCAGTGTTCAGATGAGGTGGTTCAGACACCTCGTTTCCCACCCTCTCAGTCCTTGTGGGTTCCTTTGTCCTCAGCAGGTATCGATCTCCTCTGTGAAGTGTCTGTCAGTTACATGAGCGTCCATTTCTCCTCACTCCATGCTGTGCAGGTTTAGCAAAGCGAGACCCTCTCTCCCTGGGACCCGGCGGGATGATGCCCCCTGCCAGCGTTAGCCTGCACTCTGGATACAGGGACTCTGGGCAGACAGGACCTCCCAGAGCCTTCGGGGACAAGGAAAAGGCTCAGTGCACCCAGGACTGTGGGCAGAGTGGGAGCAGGTGTTCAGCGGGCTCCGCCCATCCGTGAGCTCACCTTGCCAGCACAGTGGCCCACACCTGTAATCCCAGCTACTCAGGAGGCTGAGGCAGGAGGGTGGCTTGAGCCCAGGAGCTCAAGGCCGGCCTGGGCCTCAAACTGAGACTTTGTCTCAAAGGAAAAAAACAGATTAATATCAAGATGCAGGCAAAGCTACAGCAGAAACTGCCTGGGTCTAGGAGATACTACAATCCAGGGCCCCTGAGGTGGGCAAGGGAGCATGAAAGATCTGCCATCCCAGTGCCCGGAAGCTCAATGCATGGAGAGATAAGATCACGCCGGGATCTGAGCAGAAGCTGCACACACAGGACAGAGGGAGATGGGAGACGGAGCAGACGGAAGGGCCAGGGACCCACCAGGGCAGAGAGGGGACCAACAGCCACAGGCCAGGGACCAGCCTGCTCCTCTGAGGAGCCCGGCCTGAGCAGACACCCTGAACCGGGCCAGCAGAAGCTTCCCATGGCCCTGGAAGTGTAGGAGGAAGCTCACTGTGAGCCACCGTCGTGGGCATTGGCAGGATGGCCCCAGGGAACTCTCAGGGTCCCCAAAGGCTCTGACCACAGTTAATGAATTTGGGGACAACTGAGAATGGGTGCTACAGTGTGCACCTCAGTGTCTGCGGGTTTCTGCACGAGCTTTTTCTCCTGTGCCCTGGCCTAGCTTTAAGATACTAAAAACGATGATCCACAAAAGCAAAACAGAAACCCAGTGCAGCAAACACCCACAAGGGACAGAGTGCCACATTGCAAACAGCACAGAGAGGAGAAGCCCCTTGTCCCTAGGGGGCGAGTGGTGCTGGGAACCCGATGGCCACAGGACAGGGAGACAGCGGCTCCCAGTCCACACAGAGGGGCGGACGGGCCAGCCCCACACAGCACCCGTGTTTAGATCCACCCTGGCGACAAACAGGAGGGGGCAGCCCAGAAAGGAAGCTTCGAGGCCTGGGACACAGAGTGGGTCCTCCATAGCAGGTACTCCAGGCAAACAGGCAACGGGGGTGAAGGGACCGTCAGACCAGGCCCAGGCTCCACGCCGCGGCAGATGGACAGACGGGCGGCAGGCAGACCGGTGAAGCGAGCATTAAGAACAGGGGAGGACGTAACTCGAAGTGGACATGGTGACAGAAGGGCCCACCTGCAGGTCTAGGGCCTGACTTCACACATGGGGACCGACACCCCAGACCATACCTCAGCCCCAGGTGGGGGAGGCGAGGCAAGGCCTCCGGGCTCCATGGCCAGCTGTGGAGAGACCACCCTGAGACCCCCAAAATTCTAAACCTAAGTGTGGGGACAGTGGCGGTGTCAGTGACAGTGGCAGTGATGGGCCTGCAGCTGGGTTCTCTCTGCAGCGGTGCAGACGCTGAGCCCTGAGGAAGGGACCGGAGGTTAGGAGCCTGGGGTGCGGTGGGTCCATGTCCACATGTCCAGCCTCTCCTAGCTCTGTCCACCAGAAAACAAGGACGGCCAGCAAGCGTCTCTGACCAGGGGAGTGGAAGGGGACGCAACAGCCAGGCAGGCGCCATCCCAGGGAGAAGCAGGCACAGGGAGGGAGACGCCAGAGAACCACGGATGCGGTTCACACTGACCCTCAGCCCGGTCATCGGTGGTGACAAACACACACACCAGTAAAGCTGGCCGAGGACCTGAGCGTGCGTGTGCATGGGAACCCTCACAAGTGTTACAGTCCTTCTGCAAATCTAAAACTGCTACAGAAATAAAATGGGAGCTTTTAAAGGTACAGCGTGAGTCACCACAGCTCCTTGGAGGAACAGCAGGTGCCCAGTCAAGAACAGGGACACCATCAGGTGCCCCTGGGCACCCTGCTATGCCACACAGCAAGGGCTCCAAGAACAGGACAAGCCGGAGGGGCGCACACGGACCCTGGGGCAGCCTGAAGGGATCTACCCTGCCATACCTGGGCTAACCAGGCATCATGATTATAGACAGTGACTGAACACGTTCGATGGTGCCCAGTCTGCTCCCTGTCCATCAGAAGGATGGTGGCCCTTGGGGGCACGCAGGGCATACTGGGCTGGGTGCCCCTCTTCTGGGTAGGGTGTGGAGGAGTCACCTGGGGGACACTCGTGAGGCCCCTAGAGACTGCCGGCGCAGCCAGTCAGATGTCCTCTAATGGACATCATGTGCCCAGTGCCCCGGATGAGAAGCCCGGAGGAGGCGACAGCTTCACTCCCATGTCGTTCCAGCCAGGAATAATCAGGAGGAAACAGAGACGTCTAAACCAGGAGACATCTAGAAATCTGTACCATTTTTAAAAGGAAGGAGACTGGTATTAAAGACAATAAAATCATAAAAACCAAAGAGAGGGGGACCAGTTCCAGGCTCACAGAGACTAGCCATGGGCATCAACACAACCCAAGGCCCTGGGCTCGGTCCTGCCCTGGGGGAGAAACGCCACCAAGGGCTGGGTGAGAACAGGGACACGGACGGGGGACAGAAGCACTGACGGGGGCACCCAAGCTGCAGGGGACGGCTGCGCTGGGGTCACCAAGGAAGACACACAGGCACACCACACACACAGGAAGGGGACAGGACAGCAAAGGTGGAGAAGGCAAACAGAGCCACTGTCATTTGACACCACGGCAAATAAAAGGTCTAAGGAAATATGAAGCCCCATATGCCATTTTTATGAGCAGCGGAGTTAAGAAAGTAGGCCACATAAAGCGATAACAAACATTCCTACTCCACGTGTTTGCCCCAGAATTTGTTCCCCAACTATGCAAAAAAAAGCTGCTGCCATTCGGGAACACGTGCCTGAGAACTCAGTGCCAGCGGTGTCGGGGAAGCACCAATTCGCACTGCAAAGAGCCCTTCCCGCTTCCGGGGACAGCCAGAGGGAAGACCAGCCAGGCCACAGGCCACGGACCACGGGCGGCGGGGACACTCAGTGCCACCAACCCTTGGGAGCACCAGCACTGTCTCCCGGTAACCCCAGCAGGTGGCCCCAGGCCAAGGAGCTGGAGGGGCAGGAAAGGCCAGGCCAGAGCCCTGCCTGCTGCCACCTTGTGCTCAGCCCAGGCAAGGCAGGCAGCCTTGGGCCTCCAGACCTGAGAGACATGGGGCGGGTGACAATTTGTCACAGCAGCCAGGGAAAACTGGTGAGGTGCTGAGGCCCTGAACAGTGGCTGCAAAGACAGCAGGACCCGAGGGGGACGAGCAGGACTTCCAGGGGGATGGAGAAGCCAGGCACCCAGGGGGCGGCACAACAGCCAGGGCTCACCTCTGGCACTCTCTTGGCACAGCTGGGAGGAAGGGGGGGTGTTAGTTTAAGCACAGATTGCCCAGAAATTCCTGCGCCCAGATCCCTCTCTGCTGCACCTGGTATGGGAGCCCACCGAGGGCCTCACTGTCGCCCAAGCTGACCTGGGTCCAGTTTCTGTTTCTAGGAACCATGAGTCTCCACTGATGCACCCAAGGCAAGGCACGTGTGCAGGTGAAGGGGCAGGGCCGTGCGGGGGACAGGCTCGGGGTCACCTGCTCCCAGAACCACCCAGCCTGCCTGCTCCCAGAGACAAAGTCCTCGGCTTCCTGCCGACTCCATGGATACAAGATGCCCCCCAGGGGGCCACACGGCTGGACAAGAAGGCAGAGGTCATCAGGTCCACACCGGCAGGTAAAGATGGCCAACGACAGAGGCGCAGGATTCTTGGGGGCACACACGCCCTGCACAGGGCCTGTGCTTCCTCGCTTTTCCCTGAGCTGTGAGAGGCTCCGAACCAACTAAAGGCTGCAAACCTGCAGCCCATTCGCAAGGTGGATCCCAAAGGGCCGTTTAATAACAGCGCTGATTTCAGAAACAGCCTCGCCTCTAAGAGCGGCAAATGAGGACCAGCTGTGCTTGACCCAGGGGAGAAGGGAGAGCGGAAGAGGTCACAGCACGGGAGGCAGGGCCTGCAGGAAGCCGCTCCCTGGTTCTCCCAACCTGGGATCCAACCTGGGGCACAGCTCGGGCTGCAAGACGTGTTAACAGAGGTCCGTTTCCAGAACAGGGTGCCATTTTGCACCGTCCACTTCTAACAACAGAAGACAAGTGCTGTCCACCCGAGCTCACTGGGTATCTGATGAGCTCGAGAAACTTCTTTTGTGTTCTGGGTGCAATCGTGGTATGCACAGCCATGTGCCGAGCACACCCATCACTCGGTCCAGGGCGTACTCTGAAACGATCAGGAGAAGCAGCAGTGACCAGGCCAGCCCTGTGCAGCAAGCTGAGGCTGGTGCCAGGGACATGGGGTGACAGTGTTTCTCTCCACCTGTGTTTATGTTTGACATTTTCTAGAATAAAAAAGTATTTTTAAAAATGCGCATGCCAGCAGGGCACAGTAAGACCCTCCCATCATCCCAGAACTCAGGACGCTAAAGCAGGAGGGTCGCTGTGAGTTCAAAGCCAGCCTGGGCTACACAGCAAAACCTTGCTCACAATAAGTAAATAATAAAAGCATACGCCAAAGTGTTTGTGGAGGAAACCAAGTTAGGCCCAGAACGTGCGTCAGAGCAACTCAAAGGGCTGTGGCGAGACAGAAAGCAGACAGCCCAGGAAGGTGAGAACTGGGGTGCTGCCTGGGGTTAGGGCACTGCCTGGCCCATGTTTGTCTACAATTTCCAACCTAAGAAGTCCCACAGGCTAGGGATTTAGCTCAGCGGCAATGCACCTGCCTGGCAATCTCAAGGTCCTGAGTTTGATCACTGGTACCAAAAAAAAAAAAAACAGACAAGAAGATGAAGATGAAGGCTAAGGCAAAGACAAAGACGAGGAAGAAGAAAGAGGAGGAGGAGGAGAGGAAGAGGAAGAGGAAGGAGAAAAAAAGGAGGAGAGGGAGAGGGAAAAGGAGGAGAGGAGGAAGAAGAGGAGAAGAGGAGGAGGAAGAGGTCCCTAAAGGGATGAGAAGCAGATTTGCATCCTGGATGCATAAACACACTTGAAGGGCTCCCATCTCACCGCAGACAACCGCCCTTAAAGAACAAGGAGACCAGAAGCCCAGCGATGTGACGCGCCCCCTCTGGACGCCCCTCCGAGCCTGCAGAGCGGCCATCGGATGGCTGGGGCTTGTGATCCCACCGTCACCTCAGCTAGCTCTCTGAAAAGGGACGACAGCCCGGGCTGGCACCACTGGAATCACTTTCTTCTCCAACATCCAAACCTGCTGCCCCGGGTGCCCGGCACAGGGCTCACTGCTAACCGCTGGGCCCGCCCTACTCCATGTCACACGCAGCGGGGATCTCTGGGGAAAATCACTTCCCTGGGAACCGCTCCTCCCCAGGCCGCGCTGAAGGAAGCTTGCTCCATGACAGTACGTGGAACCCGGTTCCGGGGGACAATCGGGGGCCACATCCGGAAGAACTGATGGGCTGTGACATGTTCCCAGGGTTCTGTGGGGCCTGACAAAGGATCCCAACGGAGCTAAAAAGCGCTAATGAAGTCACACAGGACTCTGGGTTCGTTTCCGCCCTCAGGCTCCACACACAAGAGGAACCGATAATTAACACCTGGGGGCAGCCCCGGTTCACAGAGAGAGTCCAGAGTGACAGAGAGCGCCCGCAGCCCCTGTGCCCCGCAGGCCCAACGCCAACAGCAGCACCTGGAACACCCACCATGCATGCCCAAGTGTCAGGTGCCACCCACCCAGCACATCCACACACGGTAGCGTTATAAATGAAATTTCTAGAAATAAATGCAGCAGGACGGGGAATGAAGCTTCACAGAGATGATTTGGTGCCCAGAACACCTGGTGCTGCAGGGACCGTGTCCCTGACCAGGACTCAGAATCTCAAAGGCTGGAGGCGTGGCCACAAGGGAAACTCTGGACAGGATGCCCAGCGCCCCACCCCCAACCAGCACCCTCCCCCGAGCTGTCCCCAGGGACGGGACATCTCCCCAGCCTTCCTGCATGACACGTGCTAAAACGATACTGAGATTTTAAAACAGAAAGCTGAGTCATAAGCACAACATGAGCTGAGTTTACCAAATAATCCATCCGTCCACATATTCTGTTTCCTCTGTGAATCCCTGCTCCTAGTAATAATCAGGTTCACATGACGGTCACTCTAGCCATCTACCAGAGTCAGGCTTTACGACGTGCAGCGTCATAAGAAAAGCACACTCAAATGGTCTCACTTTTTCAAAATAACTATCGATCCAGTAATTATGAATTAATGCACTCAGGGTGTGTCAGTATCAGTCCTGAACTCTAAGATGGTGTTTTCTAGAATCATATGCTACACTTGCTATGACTTTGTTTTTTTTTTTTTTTTATTTTTGCAGCACTGGACATTGAACCAGGTCCCAGTACAGAATTACATCCCCAGCCCCGGTTCATTTTTAATTGTTTTTAAGAGAAGGTCTCACTAAAATCACTAAATTGTCCAAGCTGAACTCAAACTTATAATCTTCCTGCCTCAGCCTCCCAGAGTCGCGGGATTACAATTGTGTACCACCACGCCCAAGCCTTTACTGGGAGAGAGTGCTAACACCCACTCTGTCCACGCCTGACACCCGGGACCCCCACCCCGGGGAGACCTGGGGACAGGGCACTGCTGCTCACGTTGCTGTCCACGCCTGAAGGGCCGCGGAACACGTACTCCAGCTGGAAGACAATGGCGAACGCAGGGTGACTGACCATCTCGGGGAGTCGCAGGCGGCTTCGCAAAACCAGAGCCTGGTTTCCAGAGCTGGATCAGAAACACAAACCAGGGCACCTTAGGGTCAGCACCTGGCCCAGGGAGTCCCCAAACCAGTGCTTCCCTCTCAAGTGTCTCAATCAACACCTGTTCCGCAGGGCCAGGGTCAGCCTGCAGGATGGGACGGCGTCCCCAAGACGTGTCACAGCTGGTCCCTAGGGACTGAGTTCTGCCCGCATCACAGGAGAGCACAGTGTGGCAACCCCAGATTAAGCAAGCAGGGCTCCCTGTCTTCAGTATGCTGCGGTTCTAGGGTACACCTGACTGGACACACGGGGGCACCTCGGACCCTCAGCAGCCAGAATGCAAACTCACAGCTGTGGCAGCCCACACCACACACAGGGTTGACCAAGCGTACAACCCTGAGGCTTGCACAGATGGGCGTGACAGAAGAGCTCGAGGGGAGAGCGCAGCTGGTTGGAGGTGGGCAGCCTCCTCTTGCCGTGACCCTTGCACATCCCTGCCCGTGCCACATGGGGACCCCCAGAGAATACCTGGTCCTGGAGGAGGAACTGACTTTCCTGCTGAAACTGGCTGAGCGCGTCAAGGCCACGTCCATCTCGGGCACCAGCACCACCACCTGCGGCCTCTGTACGAAGCCCAGGCCGTTGTGCACACCCACTTGCAGGCGCCGCTCCAGGACCTCCAGGGCACCACCATCCAGCGGGCCACCCTCCTGCAGGGGCACAGGGTGGACGGAGTGAGCACTGCACCTCAGGGCAGCAGGGTCTCTGGAGAAGCTCCAGGGAGCAAACAGGCAGAGGGCAGGAGCCAAGGAGGAAGTCACAGGCCTCTCTGGACAAGGTGATGCTTAGCGTCAGAGTCCAAGCAAAAGCAAGACCATGGCCCAGGGGCTGTGGGCAGCCGCGGGGCACTTCCTGGAAATCCTGGTATTTCCCTCCCAGCACGGCCCGCTCCACAGCGCATCCCCGGGGGTCGCCACCACCAAGCTCACTGGGCTTTCCTGGCTTGGGCTCGGGTCTCCCTGCGAGAGGCTATGAGGGCAGGGAGGCATCCCAGAGGGAGCTCACCGGCTTTCAACCCTGTCCACGGGGAGACTTGAGACGTGGGAGGAGCAGAAGCAGGAGGCCCCAGCTTAGCAGTGAGTCGCAAACCAATAAAAACGGAATCTGCCCCAAAGTGATGGCCGGATATTAAAGTGTTTCATCTTAACGGAAAATGAACAGGCACTCTAACACAGAGCGGGGCTGCCCCTCCAGGATATCAGTGTTTATTAAATTATGTGATCTTTGCCAAATGATCTCGGAGTCCTGCAGTGTTCTGCACCGTCCATTAATCAAACTGAAAGGATCGAGAGGCAGCCCTGTAAGTCTTCGGATAATGAAAACAAAACTGTAGATAACTGAGTGTCCTGCAGCTGGACAGTCGCAGAAACACAAAGGCTGCTAAAACACGCGACAAGGTTATTTACGGGAATCTGTAAGATTCAACAGTGAGGCTCCCAGACTTCTCTGCCCTCACACAATCTGCTCTGCAAAATGAGAACACAGCAGGAAAAGCACGGAGAACATGCAGGCTGCCACCGACTCTGCCCCGCTCTCCGCCTGGCTTGTCACCTGGAACGGAACCACGAGGGAAAACCACATCGTCAAGAGGGGAGGGAACAAAAGGTCCACTGGTTCATGAACACGTGAGCAATAACCTGGTGACCCACAGGCCAGTGTGGGGCGCAGCTGACACTGAATCTCACAGCGCTGCAGTGCAAACACTGGTAACGCCCACCCCAGAGCGCAGGGGACGGAACAGTCCCTGTCCCCACGGGCCTGACACTCAGGAGGGGAGACCGAGGGTCAGCCCTGCACAAAGAGGATGCTGAGCGCTCCAGGGAAGTGCTGAAGGGGTGACAGTGTCAGTGAAGGGGCCCAGTGGGGAGGGCCGGGGACCTGCCCCGCAGGACAGAAGGGGTACACGGGACCTGAAACTTTACGGTGTCATACACAGATCTGCAGGAAGCACACTGGGAAAAAAATCACAGGTTGCAAGGCAGAGATGGACCCAGCACCAGGGAACCAGGTGAGGCAGCCCAGGGGCCTGTTTGGTGTACGTTCAGGGCCCACAGAGACCCCGTCTCCCGTGTCCCACACAAAAGGACCACAAGGACGGATTTCAGCCCAAAGACAACACAGACCAGGACCAACAGAGGGTTTCAAACAAGGAAGAGACAGCCTGCTGGACATGCACTTCCAAGCAATGTAGGGGACCACAGAGTGGACAGAGCTGTCCTCTGGGCTCCTGCAAGAAGCCAGGAGACCCACACTTCATCAGAAGATCCTTGTTCCCCCACGGGCAAAGAGCAAAAGCAGCAAACCTCAGCACAGCCACCAACAGAAAAGGCACACAGCAGCCTCAAGGCCTTGGGCCAAGGCAGGACACCCAGCCACTGGGCCCCACCAGCTCTGCCCGGCCTGGGGGCCATGCCAAGTGGGTGAGACCCGAGTACTTCAGCCAGAATCCAGCGGAGATGACCATCTGTCTGGTCCAGGTCAGCCTCCAGCGGCAGCCGGGACAGATCTCCCAGAGACAGGCCCAGGACTGGAGGCAGAAACCCCCAGAGGGACATTTTCTGGCCTCTGCTGCATTAAATTTGGGATTGTCCCAGACAAAGCCAGCAGAGGCAGGAGATCCACCCCATAGACAAAGGCTGTGGCCCCAGTAGGCAACAGCCAGCCCCACTGACCTGCCAGCGGCTCTCTCCAAGGAAGACAGACAGGTGGCAGACCCTAGCCACAGAGGCAGGGACACACATGCTGCTGCCGAGCAGCCAACACGGCACTGGGCACAGAGGTGACATAAGAAAAAGCCTGGCTTTGCCCAGGAAGGGCATGGCAGCAAGCTTACACTGTGCAAGGGGCTTCTAGAGGGCACAGGACAGGGAGGCTGCCGGCAGGGCCTGGGCAGAGCAGGAGCAGGACGGCTGGGAGCTCACCCATCTGGGCACCACCAGGCTGCTTTGCACACCTTCAGCGATGTGGCCGGCAGGGCGAGGCCAGGCGGCCTCTCAAACCTCTGTGGCAAAGCAGCTTCCTTTGTGTTTCAAAAGTGAAGGCCCTGTGGGAATGGTGGTGCACACCTGTAACCCCAGCGCTTGGAGACTGAGGCGGGAGGGTAGCTTTGAGTTCAAGGCCAGCCTGGACTACGTAGTGAGCCAAGACCGGCCTAAACCGAACTGTAAAACTCCGTCTCAAAAAAAAAAAAAAAAAAAAAAAGAAAGAAAGAAAGAAAAGAAGTGAGTTCTGTGATCCCAGGAGGGGACAGAGGCAGAGTACCCACGCTCACATTCTGGTGGCCAGGTGCTCAGAGCAAGACCGGGACGTGACTGCCCCTTCTTCCCACAACAGCAAGGCCAGGCCAGACGGAGGTGGGGAGGCTGTGCACGGCACACCTCGTGCTCCTGGGCCACACGGCCACAGGGCCAGTTCTGACAGTACCAGGGACAGCAGGACAGACCAGGACAGGTCCTGCAGGGGCTTCCCAGAGAACCCCGAGAGTGACAGGGACAAGCGCTTGGCAGTGACCTCCTTGTGGGGTCTGAAGGCGTACAAGCCAGGACAGGACCCAGAGGAGCCTCAGGGCGTCCCTCGTGCACAGTGAGCCCTGTGCGTGCGTGGCACATGTGGTCCTCACTGTGGGCCACTCCAACATCCCACCGAACGGGCGGGTAAACCCCACCTTCCAGGGGCACGGGACAAATCCCCAGGGGGAGCTCCAGTGAGGAGACCAAGGACTGCATCCACACCGGACTGCAGAGCCCGAGTGTCAGGGGAGGCAGCAGCACTTTTCACAGAAACTAGGCATCCAGGTGCTCCCGAAAATGTCCCCCATAGATGTATCTTACAAGTCTCTCCAAGCCCAATTGGTGACATAATTTATTTCTTTTTAATTTTTTATTGAACCCAGGGCCACTGCACTGAACTAAGTCTAAGTTGCCCAAGCTGGGTTGACCTGCAATCCTCCTGCCTCAACTTCCCCAAGTGCACAGATTACAGCTGAGCACTGCCACACCGACTACATCATCTCCTTTTACAGGAGGCTGCTTTGTGATCTATCAAACTCCCTGTCTCAGGCTAAGATCACCTTCCCTGCTGCGGAAGGCGGCACAGGCTGCGGGATTTGTAGGGGGCTCGGCCACGGCAGGGAAGGGATCCTCCAAGACCTCCTTGATGCACCACTTCAGGGGCAAAAAGCCCAGGAAAAAAAGGGAGAGACAGGACTAGGTCACCTGGAATACACTGCCCAGCCCCGCCCTCCGGCACCCCTCCCTGCAGGGAGAAGTCCCCTCTCAGGGGACGCAGGGGATGGTACCTCCTGGGCGTGGTCATCAGCCAGGAGTCCCAGAAGCTCCTCCTCAAACTTCTCCAGGGAGGGGTACAAGGTGAAGAAGACATCATCCAGGTGCCACGTGGTGGTCTTCTGAAGGCGGGGCTTCCGGAGGGCGTCACCTGCAACAGCAAGAGGGCTGGAGTGACAGGGTCCTGAGATGGGGACACAGGCAGCAGCTCAGAGACACCCCAGAGCCACCTAAACGTATTCTCAGGCGGGATTCTCACCCAAACTCAACCCCAACCACACTCTGAGCAACTCAGTGACCACAGGTTACGGAGGGCAGAACAGCACCTGTGTCCTGCAGCGTGGCTTCCCTCCGTCACTTCCTTCCCTGTAGCAAGGACAGATCCAAAGATGCCATTTCCTACCGAACTAGGCTCACCGTGAACCACCTGGGAACACGCACATGGCATCGCCACACGTGGTCACACGTGTAAACTCAGACATGGCTGGCACCACAACAAAACAGCTGGCCCTGATCCAGAAGTGCTTCCTGAGGCCCTGAGGGCAGGGAGAGCTCGGGGAGAAACCGAGGCAGAGAGGTATGACCCAGTGCTGTCAGGGAGGCAGAGCCAGCAGCTGTCCCCGGGCACCCCACGCTCCAGCCTCCTGTTCATCTCTCTCTCTCCCTCTCTCCCTACATTTCTTGAGATTATTTCTACATCCGGGTACAAAGGTGCAGATTTTTTAAAGCCAGCTCCAAAGTTAAAGCAAAGATTGGTGGAGCTGGTGCTCAATGCCAGGAAAACAGCTGCCAGCTGCGCACCAGCAAGGGTCAGGCTTGGGCCGGAAGGAAGTCTGCCTCTGTTTCTACAGACGACAGACAGACAGCCGGTGTCATGTCCAAGTGCCATGGAGCTGCCCGCAGAACAGCGGTGCAGAGGGTAGAGATGGATACATTATGAGCACAAAGCCCAGTCACATGGGATGGCCGAACAGAAGCCTGAAGCGAGTCTTACACAGCAGAGGCACTGCCCACCGCAGACGGGGCCAACAGAGCAGCCGGGTGGTGGTCACAGCCCCACGCAGCAAGGGCAGAGGCTCCATGGTGGCAGGGCCATTCCCTGGGACAGTGTCCAGCTCCTGAGGCCCTACGGTGGGCCAAAAGCCTCACAGCAGAGCACAGCCCTGGGAGAACCTGGGCGGAGGGAAGCGGGAGGGGTGAGCGAGGGGCGAGGGGGCGGGGAGAGAGAGCACACATGGAGCCTTTCTCTCTGCAAGTGAAGCTACTCTGCTCACAGCCAAGGGCGGATGTGGGCATCCTCCGGGCACCACCTCAGCATTTTGGCCGGGAGCTCCCTGACCTGTGCCGCACACGCCGGCAGGGTGGCTGCTCCTGTACAGACAGGCTGTGTGCACTTTCTGAAGAACCCTCTGCCGGACCCCAGCAGCATTGCTGCCCAGAGCCGTGAAAGACGTAGGTCCCCAGCAGACACGAGGCGCTTCGGGGACACAATGAGCCACCCTGTGAGTAGGTGGCAGGGCTCCAGGCCTGTGCATGCCTGCTGAGACCTGGCACATGCTCCTCCTGGGCTCAGCGCCCTTCCCTCTCAGCCTTTGTACCCTGGACCTTCCCAGTGCACCATTCAGGTTTCCGCCACTTTCCACCAGCAACGCTGGACTCCTGGGACACCCCTGAAAGATCCGAAGATGTCAAGCAGCTCATGGCCGCTGCCTGCTGGACATCACAGGAGGAACTGACCACGATGCCCAGCACCTTTCGCTTGGCATCCACATCACCAGCAGGGAAGGCTTTGCCAACCTCAGGGGAGACAGCAGCCAGCCTCCTCTGTAGCTGGGATCAACGTGTCACCCAGGCTGAGGGTGCACAGCTGCAGTGCGCAGAGCCCCCTCAATCCTGGAGGCCCAGAGGTCCGGGCAGACGCAGCATTGCCACACAGGAGCCTCCTCTGTGCACGGCAGCTCTGGGGCAGAACATGTGGGTCCCAAGCATACCCTCCTTCAAGAAACTGCGACCTTCTGAGACTGAGGGAAGAAGAGCTGGTCAGAGCTGAGTCCTCTCTACATGGGTGACCAGAAAAAAATCAAGAGTTTCCCAGATATACTGTCGAAGGACACGTGGACATAAAGCTGAACATAAAACAGAACTTCCACGGTGAGAGCAGAGCTCATGCTGGCTGAGTGTGCACGGAGTGCCAGAGGCGAGGGCTTTAGTGATCCATCTCCTTTTCTCTTTCTCTGTTTTTTCCTGTTAGCAGCCCTCTTCCTGTCCCCATTTTACAGGGGAAAAGCAAATAACAGAGGTTTGGAGAGGTCAGACAACCCACAAGGAACCACCGACCAGGTCTCCACCGCTTCTGAAAACCAGTGCTCCAGGGCTAAGAGCTGAGACCCAGCCCTGCTCCTTCCTGCTTCTCTCACACAGGGTCCCATCTGAACACCAGGCTGCTCTCCCAGGGTTCCAGGGATGACAGAGCAAGGCCACAGGGGCCTCCCCACAGTGAAACAGGACCCTCCGTGTGGATCGCAGGAGTTCCACCGACACCTTCCAGTAAGTCACAAGGGGATGGACACAGACACACCTCAGCCGCAAGACTCCAGGTCAGGAGGACCAGCAGGGCCACCGTCACATCCGCACAGCTGTGCTCTCAGCATCAGTACATACGAGGGCAACGCATCACAGCAGTGAGGAGAGGGTCCTCTCTGACTCACACCTGGGGCTGGGGACATTCCCGGCGGCCAACACAGCCTCCACACTCTCCTCACTAAACTCAGTGACAGTGAGACCCTGGCAGAGGACCATGACTCCAGCCTGGGAGCTCTGGAGGGTGTTTAAGGCCAGGGGCCCCGTAGCAGATCAGATCAGAGGACTCCAGGCTCATTCCTATTCACAGTTAACTAACTCTCATGTGTCATCTCTTCCCAGAGACACGGGAAAGTGAGTTCACGGTAGAAATGACCATCACAGACCACCCAAGAAGTTTATTAACTCATCTAACATCTAGGCTGAACCCAGTGATGTTAAGATGGATGGTCAACCTGATTGGCTAGGAATTAGCAAGGCATACTGCTGTCCAGGTAGGTCCCAGACACGTGACCCTGGGGTCTGTATCTGGTCCCTGGCCCCTTCCTCTCTGGCACTGTTTCCTGGCTCTGCTTCCTGGCCGCAACGCAGTAAGCATCCATGTCCCTACCCAACCCTTCCACCATGATGCTGCTGCCTCGTGGCCAGCCAACCAAGGACTGCACCCCCTGAAGTCATGAGCCAAATTAAACCTCTCCTCCTTTATGCTGTGACCTTCAGGTATTGTGTCTGAGCAACAGAAAAGCTGACTAATACAGAAAGCGAAACGAGGTGGGGGGGGTCACTGCTGCCATTCTATCTGTTCAGAAGCCTCTGGAACTGGTTTGTAGGAGGAGTTCGGAAATGTTTGGAGATGCTGGCTACAGAAGTCCTAGAATGCTACAAGCATGATGGGTGACTCTGGTGAGCACTCAGAAGACCAGAACTTTGACAGGATTGTGGATAATAAGGGTCATGAAGTTTCAGGTGCAAGTGAGTATGCTTTTGAAAGCTGAGCTGCAGACCATGCATGTTACACTTGGGCAAAAACTCCGTCCACATTTTGTCCATGTCCTGAGACTTTGATGGAGGTTTACATTAAGGGCTACGGCCTAAGTGATCTGGCAAAGAAAATTTCAAGGCAGCCCAACATTCAGGCTGTGGCATGGGTACACAGGTTGCTTTTAGCGAGATGTATGTAAGAATCGGGTATAAAGCAGAGCATAAAATTCTGAAAAAGTTACACTTTGGCCCAAATGGAGCCACGTGTAACGTTAAGATCAAAAAAGATGTGATTGCTGAAGAGATTACTACCAATAAAAATAAATCAAGTACTTTATTCAGGGACAAGAAGAAGGATGCCTTGAAGTTATCTTGAAAATCAGCAAGACCCCGCCTACTGCTGCACCAAGGGTGCAAAAGTTTAAACTTTTCTTTTGAGAACAGAGTCCCTGGGTCCCTTGTTCAAGAAGGGCCTCCTAGACAACAGGTTCCCCAGGATCCACTTCACCATGTTCAGCCATCAGGTTCTCAGCCACTTGAGGGGCCAGGCTACCGTTCAAGCTGGCAGCAGACCTCGGCATCAATCACATGATGCTGGTTTTACCTGCAGGCATAATGCAAGAGTTGTGGCAACAAAGGAACTGTATTTCAAAGAAACGCTGGGAGACCAGGTAAGGTGCCCTGGAGAGGACAGTTCATGAAGTCATAGGAATAAAACCAAAGGGTACCCTGGACACGCCAGAAGTCAGAGCTACCAGGAATGTGGAGTCTCTGCTGAGGAAAACTGCATGCTTTGAGAGAAGGCAGCCTAAGAACAAGGGCAGCAACTGGCACAGTCCAGGCCCCTGGACCTGCATCTCACTACCACGGGTCCCAGACACTGACTCTGGAGCCGGAGGACCTCATGCCCGCCCTGCTGGGTCTCAGTGTGGCTTCACTTCTTCTCTCCCCCCCACTCCCCCGTTCTGCAGTGGGAACGTGTACCCGGTGCCCCTGCACCTGGGGATTATAGAACTGCTTTTCATTCTTACAGGAGTTTAGAGCCAAGGGTTTACCCTGAGTCTCAAGAGGAATCTCTGATATTTGCGCAATGCTGGTACTGTTGAGACTTTGAAAAGGGATTCTTGTGTTCCAATTATATGTAGAATCATGTATCAGGTGTCAAGTTGCAAAAGATAGGATGTGCCAGTTAAGGTGGATCGTCAACTTGATTGGCTAGGGAATAGCCAATCAGTAAAGCACAGTTCTGGGTATGTCTGATTGGGTCACAGAGGGGAGACCTTGGGTACTGTATATGGTCCCTAGCCTCTTCCTCCCTGGCACCGGCTCCCTGCTCTGCTGCCATGAACTAAGCATCTCTGCTTGTTGAAGCCCTCCCTCATGATGCTCCTGTTCTGGAACCAGCCAACCGTGGACTGAGTCCCCTGAAACCATGAGCCAAACTATGCCTCTTCTCCTCTAAGTCGTGGGCGTCAGGTGTCTCAGTAATGAGAATGCATATCCCAGCAAGGGCCACACGCTGGGCCACTCCTGGGGACGTCATCGCAGACACGCTCACCCTGGAGCTGACCTGTCTTCCCCTCTCCAGGCTCTGGAATGTGTCTTGGTGAGTCAAGCCTCACACATCGCTCGCCATGTCACCACCCACGCTGTCCCGGCAGAGCAGCTCTTCCTAGGGCTGGGCAGAGAGTCTGCCCCCTAAGAGCGCAGATTCCCACAATGCCAGGAGCCCCAGCAATTCTACAGGAGGAGGTCAGTGTGGTCCCCTCTCATGGATTCTTCAGGACACCCTCACAAATGGCCTCTGTTGGTGCCCAGAGGCGCAAGGCCCAGTGTGCTAACCAGCTTCCGCCTCTGATAAACAGATTACAAGGAGGACAGATCTACTTTGGCTCATGGTCTCAGGGTCTCGGTGCACTGTCCCTGGATCTGGTGCTTTGGGCTGGCGGTGTACAGTGCATCATGGCAGGATACACAGCAGAGAAAGCCTGCCCACTGCACAGGACCCAGTGAGCACAAAGAGAGGGACGAAAGAGCCAAGGTCCCCATGTCCCCGTCAAGGACACAGTCCAGTGAGTTAATTTCTACTGGGCCCAGCCTCCTAAAAGCTCCACCAGCTCCCCATAGGACCATAGGCTGGGGACATGGGCCTATGGGGGACGCTCCAGATCCAATATACAGTGCCCAAGTCCTGAGGACTGTACGGCAGGAGCCCAGAGCACAGCACATGCCCACAGTGGCCCTCTTAGCCATATAAGGGTGATCCAGTTCCAACCCTGGCTCCCAAAAGCCACACCACGACAGGACCCTTAGTCTTTCGCTCAAATTTCGGTTTTCAAACGTAACCAAATCTGCACATCAGTGTTCACAGCAGCGCTATTCCCAGGGCAGGCAGGGGACAGCGACAAATCAAGCCCGCTGGGTGTGGTCCATCCATAGGATGGAAAACTCAGCCTCAGAAACAAAGGGACAGGAGACACAGCTATTAACTGATTACGCAAGACCACAGACACCAAGTGACAAAAATCACACAGTGCCACCTATCCGAGGGACCCCAGCAGAACGGGGGTTTTGGGGCTGAGGGTTCGGGTAGGGAGTTAGGGTTCGATGGATATGGAGTTTCAGCTCGGGTAGAGGAAGCTGCCCTGGGGACAGGCAGTGGTGACAGTTGTACAGTGCGATGCTTAACTTAAAAGTAGCAACAGAGTCACTTACACCACGGCCCAGGAAGGGTGAGCAGGAGCGCTCACACCGGCCACCTTCACCCACCTTGGGTCTAGGGGGTCCCAGTGCTTCAAGGCTAAGCCTGAGCTCGCCTGACCTGCAGAGTGGAGAGAGCCAGAGGGGGCCTTACCCACGTCGCTGTGCGCTGCGAGGAGACCGGGGATGGGCTGCAGACCAGACACGAGCAGGTTCTCGGGCAGCAGGTGGAAGGCGGGCTCCAGGGCCGGGTGTGGCCGCAGGGTGTAGTGCAGGCTGCAGTTCTCGATGAGAGTCATGTGCTTGTTTTCTGGGGAAGAACAGCATCGACATGGTGACTGAGGCCACAGGCACAGCTGAGAATCAGAAACTCAAGAAACACCACCAGGAGAAAAGGCATGTTTCTAAGGAGAGTGAGGCATTGCTTCACCATTCAACTGGAAAACGAAAGGCTTCGGTCCCCAGGATTTTCTCTGAAAAAGCACTGTCAACCATTTGGGTGATTTTTGTTTCTATGTGCTTGCTCATTTTTCAAGACAGGTCTTGCTATGTTACCCAGGCTGGCCCCAAACTCGCAACTCAAGCAATCCTCCTGCCTCAGCCTCAGCAGTGGGCTGGGATTGACGGCAGGCACCACCACATCAGGCCCTGCAAGAACAGTTTCTGAGTCAACGCATCAAGTCTCCACCGAAGGCCAGGCTAGGGGCTGTGCTGTTCCCTGGCATTAGGGGCCCCATGCTCAGAGGGAGGATGAGCCCCACACTGCCTTCCCCTGAGTCTCAGCCCTGCGATCACTGAGTCACACCAAGGACAGGAGGCCCTGGGGCCAGCGATGGCTGCTAGAGGAGGCCCCATCCACCAGGAGGGCCGCTGTCGTGGGCCAGCAGTGAGGAACCAGCTGACGGGTCTCTGATCACACAGGACCCAGACGCACAAAGGTTTGGATACCCCGGGGACAGGGAGCAGACAGTGTAGCCCCACAGCCCCGGCATGTGGCGAGCACAGGAAACCTAACCCTAACCCGATCCCCAGAGGAGGCTCAGGCTGCCACAGTGAGAGAAGACGCACCAAGGTGGAAGGAGCAGGGTACCGGGAGGAGCAGCCCCCAGAATCACAGAGCCTGGGAGTGAGGGAGAACCACAAACATGCCCTCTCCACTCTCCTGCCCCATCTTGCATAGGCTTGATTTCTTCCACTGATGAGGACCTCACCACCACCACCACCACCCCCTCAGCTCAGCCCCTCGGCCAGCCTCCACTCTAGCCACACACCAGGGCACCCAGAGTGAGCACCCACATGGGGGAGACAGTCAATCACGATGCCAACCCAAGGGCACGGCCACACGGCCATGCAGAGTCAAGCACTCTGGAGGCCCTGCAGGAAACACAGTGTGAGACAGATGAGCAGAGAAAGCGAGGCATGGCCAGGAGTGGAAAGCAGGCAAAAAGATGCAATGGGCACCCGCTTCCACACTGCAGGAAGAGCCCGAGGGCTCAGCACGACTCCCAGAGAGGCCATGCGTGTGGAGGGTGAGGCTGGGCGGAAGGGACCTCACCCTGGACCTCTCCCCACGCACACCCTGAGAGCTGGGAGCCCCAGGTGGCTGCGGCCGTCACCCAGAGTTTCACACTGCCCAACAGGGCAGGAGGGGTACTGGCCACAGGCAGAGCCCTCACCCGCACTGCACACGCAGACAGTGAACAGTGCCCAGACCCAGGGTGGGCAGAAGTCGGGCGGCCTGGTGCCCTGCTCGACAGGCCCGACTCTAAGCCTTCTTTCGGAGAGAAAGTCCCAGCAAATCAAAATAATGTTCAGCTGAAAAATAACCCACACATCAATCTTTGTTAAAAAAAAAAAAAAATTAACTTTCTGGTTGTTCCCCATCTCAAAATTTTTACCTAACTAGGAGGGAGGCGGTGCGGGGGAGCTATCTGACAGCGTGCTCCCAGGGCCGCCCCCCATTAGCCCCTCTGCCCCATCCTCTAGGTGGGCAGCAGCAAGGGGGCCACATATCCTCCAGCTGCCCCCAGCCCATGTCCCCAGCTGCCCTCGAGGCTCCAGGCACAGAGGCACAGCAGGAAGTCCCTGTACTCTGGGCAGAGCTCCCCAGGGCAGGAACGCCGTGGTCCCCCATGGAGCACAGCCTCGCAGGAAGGCACAGCTGAGACTGGCCATCGTGCTGGCAACAACCAACGATCCCACAGTCACAGGCTCCACTGGACACTGACCACCTCATCTGGTGGGCAAAGGGCCCAAGGGGCCTGACGGCCACCTGCCCATCCACAGTGGCTCTGTGGGGCTACCCCCTCCCTCTGCTCAATGTCCTCCTCTGGGGACGCTGCACTTCAGGTCTTCAAATGACACAAAGAAACTATCACGTGACCGAGCAGGGCTGACGGTGGTCAGCACTGATGCCATCGATACAACACGGGATACTCAAGGCTGTGGCCACGGCCAGGGTGGTTGCTTACGTTCTATGGGGTCCTGGAGAAGCGGGTGCAGGAGGGCTCTGGGGGTTCCGTGATACAGCTTCAACCTGGAAGACAGGCCAGGGAACCCTATTAACCACCCACGCCCTGCACCATCACTGCAGGCCAGCTACAGGTCTCACCCCACACCACCGCCAGTCACAGTGTCCGAGGCAGACAGAGGCCTGAGGATGAGGCCAGCTGCCCCCGCCACCTGGGCTCTGCCACGCTGAACACACCTGGCACACCTACAGGCCAGGGACGGAGAAGCCTGACAGCGTTACCAAGGGAGCGTCCCCACAGGACACCCGAGGAACTGCCGAGGCCGTGCAACACAGCAAGCGTCTCACCAGGGCGGCTCTGCCCCAGGGCACACCTGGAAAGGCCTGGAGGGGTCTGGTTGTCACACCTGGCCAGGTACAGGGCAGTGCCCAGGCAGAGTCCCCCCTTCAGCCCCCATGCAAGTGGTGAGAGAGTGCCTAGAGGGATAATGTGAACTTTCACAGGCTGGACGGCTCGCACCCCAGGTCATCTGTCTTTGCACACGCAGCTCCAAAGCACAGCCTGGCAGGCGACAGGTGCTCAGCCCTGCTGCCCTCTGGCACCTGTGTGTGAAGCCACATGATGCTACGCTCACTCAGCCTCATGAGATGCACTCTGCCGCCTGGCCTGCAGAGGTGAGGGAGTCCAGGGTCAGAGTTGAACAGCCCTAAAACCCAAGGACAGTGAGAGCATGGGATGTTGGCCTCCTGCGTCCCACATTCCAGCAAAACACTGATGCAGAGCCGGTCCTCACTCCAGACCAAGGGGCAATTCCTCCGCTTACTCAGAGGAGGCCAGAAAAAAAAAAAAACCTACCGTTTGTCCTGGGATGGAGAGGTCGAAGAGTCTGGCCTGCTGCTGAAGATCTGAAGGATCCCAAACCCGCAGGACAGGGCCTGGAGGGCCCCGCCCCGCTCCTTGCCTTCGGTGACCACTTCGACCACAGCCACGATGTTCGGGTGGTTTAAGGACATGTGAAAGTAGACGGGCTGCAAGGCAGAAAGCAGAGCACAGCTCGAGGGGAGCGAGACGGCCCAGATGCCGCAGCCTCTGCCTGCCACGCTGCGGTGCTGCCACGAACATCCAGGCGCCACCCTGAGCGCTCCTGTGGCGCAGGGAAAGGAGCCAGGACAAGGGTAGAGCCTCTAGCTCCAGGGCCCCACGGCGTCCAGCACAGGGGATGAGCCGCCTCTGCTCCGACCTGCAGCTCTGGAATCACCATCTCCACATGGCAGACCCCAGGTCCTTGGGACAAGAAAGGCTGGACTGGCTGGGCACCTGCTCCGGGGCCGGGGGACTCCAGGTGGGACCATGGTTAGACCGGCCCAGGCCACTCACAGCCTGCAAAGCCCACAGCCACCGCCCATCCTCTGCCGGGGGCCTCACCCAACAGCGGCTCACAATTCCCCAATGGCCTCCGACCCTGCTTCATGCATGAGTTTAACGAGGCCCCCTGTGAACTGGTTGAGCTTCAAGCTTTGATAAGGCCACTCAGCTTCCTTTAGGTGCTAGATGACTCTAGTCAGCATCTTTCTTGTGAAAATTACTTGACATCTTTTTTGAATGACATGGGGGCGGCTAGACCAGGTAGACGACACCCAAACTGATCTTCAGGTTCCTCAGTTCTATTTTGGGGGTTTCTTTTTGGCATTGAGAACTGAACCCTGGGCCCTGTGCGTGCTGGCAAGCACCTTACCACTAAGCTACAGAGTCTCATTAAGTTGCCTGGGCTCAACTTGCAATCCTCCTGCCTCAGCCTCCCCAATAGGTAGGATAAGAGGCATGCACCCCCACACCCAGCTCCAAACGGATCTTAAGAGTTTCCACGTGTACCCTTTCCATGCCCAGTATGAAACAAAAGGTCTCTGGCTCCCACTGCTGAGAAGAGCCCTTCCCCGAGTTTACGAGGCACGCTCCCTTCACTCTGCTGTTGCTTTCCCGTTTCCTGAACGCAGGCGTTTTATCCAAACTGATCAAGGCACAGGCGTGGGAGACAGAGCAGGCGCTGCTGGCCGGGTCTGCGACCCACACAGCAGTGACATCCGCAGGTCCCCAGGCCGAGCTGGAGGTGAGGGGGATGCACAGGCCGCCTGCTGGACTCCAGGGCCACCTGCTGCAGGGCGACGTGGGGCAGGGCTGGGCTGGACTGCTGCACTGTGATTTCAACATGCACAAACCCTCCCATTAACAGGTCATTACCACGGTGTGTCCAAGAGAAGGGAACGCTCACCGTAATCACAGACTGTCAGCCCGGGGTAACGGAGAGACGCATTAAAACATCAGCCACGAGATATAAGTCGTTATTCTATTATCTTTTATTGCAAAATGATGAAACAATGACCACTTACGGTGACAGGTGGTTGGGCTGAGAGAGACTTATGCTTCTGTTTCCGAGACCGGGGACCGCGTGAAAGCCCCTGTGCGGCCAGTCTGCCACCCCTCACCTCCGTATTTATACCTGAGCACACCGCCTTTATGAACACTGCCAGCTTTTTCTCCTGGCCATAAAACAAATATTTTAAACTCAGATGTGAAGCCACAATCCTCTGCAAGCTTAGAGGTCACCTTGAGACGGCTCCGCCTAAAGACAGGGCTGAGCCTCCCTCTCCACGTGCCCCACCAGCAGGGATTTATGGCTGCTTCCTGTCCCTTTCATGTGCCACCAAGAACAATCATCCTGAGACCAAAATACCCACCAGCAGGGCCTCCGCCTTGCACATCTCTGCAGCCCTGACTCGGGTTCGGAACATGCCTCATCAGAAGAGCCAGCCCACACTGGATGCAAGGCACACAGAAGGGCGATTCAAGTTCAGAGCCCCGTCAGCTCTGCTCTCCACTGCCAAGGAGGCAGGCACGCCTCCAGAGATCATCCCTAGCCAGGGATCCAGCCAGTGGCACAGAGCCTGCCCAGCAAGTGAGAAGTCCTGAGTTCAACTCCCGGTACTGAAAATCATTCACTGACCCTCCAGTGTGGCAACACCAGCACGCTAAAGAATTCCTAAGGACCCTGGGAAATACTATCCAGCCTTGCAGAAGTACAAGGCTCAAGGACTTTACCAAGGATGGATTAGGTGGGTACCACGGCACCAAGGCTGCTCGGGAACAGGCAGCTCTGAGACACTAAGCAGGGAACGCTCCCAGAGACGGAGACACAGACATCTCTCCCGAGCCTCAGCTCCCTGTACCCCTGCGCCCACGCCTCCGGGCATGCAAATGAGCACCCATGAAATGCAGACAGCTCTCAGGGAGTAACGGCAGTAAACAGGCCCCCTGCTCTACAGAAATTTAATTAACACTGACACCATACGTTTGGGGAGGCAAATTCTACGCACAGACTGAAATTGCATGATTAAAAGTGTAAGTCAAGCCCATCAAATTACCTGTGGGAGAAAACCACCTGAGACAGAAGAGATGGCTCTGCTCCCCCTGCATCTCTCGGCCGCGCCTGACAAGCTTCCTCCCTGACAAGACTGACAGACTAATAAATCGTGTAAACGTGCACATTCCAGCCTCAGTCACCATCGGCCTCCCCCGACTTCTGCTGCTCACCGGAAGTAAGGGGGACCACACAGGCTCCACCTTTGTGTCTTCGGGAGGAGGCTGCATGAGGCAACCCCAGGTTACACCGCACGACTGTCACCCGCTGACAGGAGCCCATCTCTTCTGTGACTCGAGTGACCTCACCTCAAGTTCCCAAGCTGGAGACCAAGGTGAACCCCACACTGGAGGAACGACGTGAGGTTTCACTGGCTGAAAGGCCCGTGCCCCATGACAGCCGCTCCTGCCACCCAGATGGAAAGCACAGCCTGGCAGGTGACAGGGGCTCACCTGCCTCTGCTGTGAGGACCCCACTGCTGCCACCTGGGCACACGTGTGAAGCCACATGACCACACTCACGCTGCCTCGTGAGATGCACACTCGAGCCAGTGTGCACAGGTGAAGGAGTCCAGGGTCAGAGTGAGACAACCCACCGAAGGCCCCCCATCACAGATGTATCCTGCATCTGACCCAACGCCCCTGCATAGCCGGTCCTCACTCCGGCCCACAGGATGACCCCTCTGCTTCCTCAAAAAAGTAGGTGAGCGAAGCCAGGTGTGACCCAAAGCCAGCAGCACCCCTCAGCTTGTTCTCATGAACACCTAACCCTCGCTTTCCCTGCCCCTAACGATGGGCAGCTCATTCAGCACTTGACGAGGCCGACACCGGAAACACCGCCCAGATGGTGCTTGCTGGGGCTCCGGGGCTGCGGGTTCACACTCATGGGGACACTCCAGGAAGGACTCGGTGCCCTCCCTCAGCAGTGTGGGGCGCAAGGACTAATGAACTGCAAGTCCCCAACTGCAGACGAATCAAGTGGCTCAGAGGGCTCCGGGAGGTCCACTTGGGTCACATGGTGTCCCAGACAGCACACGCGGGGCAAATTTATGGGGCAGATTCCCCAGCTGCTGTGACTCTGCTGAAGGACAGCTGGGCCCCACTCCCCTTCTCCTAGCTGTGGCTATGGGAAGGGAGGTGACCCAGTGACCTGAGTCACCTGAGCAACATCGGGGCTGCTGCGCACTGGGCAAAGAGCCCTGTGCTGGGTCTGGGTGTCCAGGGAAGCCCGGGGGTCCTGGCCCAGGAACACCCCTCAAATCAGGAGGAGGCAAACCACGGCCGCAGTCAGCAGACCCTGAATCCCAAGGAGAATTATGAGCACTGAAAAGTGAGGGCATAGTACCGGCACGGGGCTGGGGCCTTTGGAGTTATTTTTCAAAAGACACTTTTTTAGAGACTGAATGAATTATTAACCTCTCAGAGGGAAAAGGCAATTCCTGTCCACGGGAAGGTCTCAGAGGAGGACACAGAATTCTGGGCTCGAGGCTGAGGGCTTCAGGGTCCTCACCTGTGGACTGTGGGGATCCATGGTCCACAAAGAAACACCCAACTCGGCCTTGAGGCAAGACTTCACTGTTTTAAGTCTGGTTCAGGACAGTGCTGTCTGCACAGCAATGAGAGAGCATCTTCCTGTGGGTGGGGAGGCCGGGCAACTCAGGTGGCCCTGCTGCCACCAGCTCACTGACCTCAAACGGACCACTGACCCACTGCCACGGGGAAGGCCAGGAAAAGCGTTGCAAATCCCAGAGCCCCGCCTCAGAGGCAAGCAGGATTCACTTTTCCCTCCCCATCGCACAGGCCGGAGCCACGACCGCCCCACACCTGCTGCAGAGGGCCCACCGGGCCCCGCCTTTCCACTATGTGCACATGTTCATGTGTGAACACACACGCATGCACCCACGTGCACAGGCAAGGGGAACTCTCCATGCTTGAGGGAGCTGGAAGGTCCGTTTCCTCATTCTGACGATGGAGGTGGCAGTGGTGACACCCAACAGGGAGCCACTGCCATAAACAGCTGTCAGGAAGAACCTGTGCCTGGACCAACAGTGGCCTCTGCTGCTCGCCATGAGCATAGCAGCTGGGGTTAGGCCATACCCCAGCGAGGTGAGGCCGAGACAGCCCCTCGGCCTGGCACCCCCCTGCTAACTCTGCTGCACCCACTGTGGCCATGGCTCCAGGCTGCAGGGTACAGAGTTCCCCCAATCAGACGCCGCCCCCTCGGCCCCCCAGTCTGCCCACCAAGAGGGGCGCCCCTGGTCAAGGCGGAGGGGCTGCAGCCCACACTGCTCTGAACCACCAACACTGGCACCCCAAAGGCCTGGGGCACTCCACCACCAGGGGGCAGTGAAACCCGATGTGCGGCCCTTCGGCCAGGGCCACAGGCGCCCTCGAGGGCCGGGATGTGACTCCAGACAGGGCAGAGCACTGTGGCCTCCACAGCCTGCCTCTTCTTTACCATGGAACCCGGGCATCAGGAGATGGAGGCACTGGTCCTGGCCTGCCTGCATCAGGCCACCCCTGGGAGTGCAGTGCAGATGCTGCAGGGACAGACAGTCTGACAGAACCCCTAAACGGGAGGGGGGAAATACGGCAACCAGGAGGGAGAAGGAGCCCACGGGGAGGCTCCAGGATCGCGCACCCTGCCCCGACAAGCCCCCAGCACCCCTAATTGCAACACAAGACACTCTTCAGCCTGGGGGCCACCGAGCACAGCGGACGGGACAGGACAAGAGGATCCCATGGGCAGTGCCACTGTGCAGGCAGCCACCTGGAGGTCCAACTGCTGACCCTCCACCATCGCCCTGCAACCAGCAGGAGAGATTCTGTCCCCATGGACCTCAGTTTTCTCCCCTTTAAAATGGGGACACAAGAAGCTGGGGATTTAGTTCAGCGGCACAAGTGCCTGCCTTGCAAGTACATAGTCGTGAATTCGATCCCCGGTACTAGAAAAACAAAATGGGGACACGAAAGGATCTCCACAGCAGAAGGACAGGATGGCATGGTGTGCATGTGTGGTAACGCCCAGCCCATCCAAGTCCCTCCCAGGACAGGACAGCTGCAGTCACCTCCCCCATCGTTACTCATTATACAAACTCTGTTCCCTGAGCTCACTCTGCTCCCTGGGAAAGAAAATCCAAGAGCCAGGCCCAGGAAGGCCACCGAGGCTGCACACAGCTGGGACAGCAGCATCTCCACCCTGGGACGCGGGACACAGCGCTCATGGGTGCAGGCGTAGGGACGGCCCTCTCTAATCACACAGTTACATGATTTGCAACTCACTGGCCAGGGAGACCAGCAGGGGGCAGCTGGGCAAGGCCTAATGACCTCTCAGTCCCCACATAAACCTGCACCTGTTGGTTTTTGAGCCAGGGTCTCACTTTGTAGCTCATGCTTGGCTTGAACTTGCTATGCGGTCTACACTGGGGCACAGCAATCCTCCTGCCCCAGCCTCCTGAGCGCCAAGCTGAGACGTGTGTGCCAGCCACCATGCCCAGCTTCTGGGTTGTGCTTGAATTTGATAGGGAACCATGTAAGGGTCTCACCCCTGCAGGGAACAGCCTGGGGAGTCAGGGTCCGGGCTCTTTGGTTTTCTTTTTTTCAGGAGTACACAGCGAGGCCAGGAAACCCTGGCATCACAGGTAGTGGTGATGACTACAGCCAACGTCCCCACCCAGCTCCAGGCCGAGTCTCAGGCTGGCTGTGAATACGCTGCTCCCAGTGCTGGGCTATTGCCCAGCCAGAGGAGCGAGAGCCTTGGCGTGGACCATGCGGTTCTGTGTTAAAACTGCTGGTCGCCCCCAGAGATGAGAAGGGTACAGAGCCTGGCAAACCCGCAGCCAGTACAGGAACGCTGTACTGTGCCACGCTCTGCTCTCAGGACAACACCGACATCCCCGCACCCAAGGAGGTGCCGCCCAGCCACCTGCCGCCTGGCCTGCTGCCCGTCCCTTCCCAACACCCGTCCATCCCAGAGACCGCTCCTTTCTGGCCCTGCAGGTCCTGGCTCTGCAGAAAGGCTGCCCTTCTGGGCCCGGGCCTGCTGTCAGCGCCTGGGGCCCGCACCGCAGCTGCTGTGTGACAGATGTGAGCGCCAAGAGAGCTGCGGCCCCCACACCCAGAGGGGGCACCAGCCGCGGGCCTGGGCACCGGGGCAGCTGTGCCAGGTGGTGCAGTCGTCTGTGAGTAGCAACTTCAGGGCCACCTAAGGGATGTGGGGCTCAGCCAGTGTCCCCGCCACTGCCCAGTCTGCGCCCACTTCCCAGCCACGTGGGACCCTTTACTGTCAACTGCACCATCAGAAGAGAGGAAAGGAAGAGAGGAGGAGGGCAAGAGGAGGAGGAGGAAGCAGGGGCAGGAAACCAAGTCAACACTTCCCTGAACTCGGTCCCAAGACATCCAGGTTAGGGTTAGGGACGGTGAGGGGCCCTGTGTCCTCCCACCCCCACCCCAGCGGGCACCGTCACTTGCTCAGGACAGCTGGCTTCCATCTGAGACTGTCTCTGGAAATAAAGTGCACACTCCCAAGCTGGACTTTGTTGGCACTGGACCTGCTGCCCATGACGTCCCTGCAGGCCTGGGACACACTGGTCTCTAGGCCAAGGACCCGCACACCTGGCCCCACCCCAGGCCCCCGGCCCCAGCTCCCAGACCCACCTCTCCGAAGACGATCCTGGGCGGCTGCCGAGAGAGCTGCTTGATCAGCTTCACGGTGCTTTTCCACGTCCTCCCAAAGAAGTGTCGGTAGGTGATGTCAAACAGAGACATCCGCAGATGGCACTCGACCTCCGACAGCACCTCCAGTGTGCCCTAGGAGACAGCAAGGACGAGCCCTGAAGTGCGCGTGCCCTGTCACAAGCCACCGAGGACACCAGGGGCCATCCTGGCACTGAGGCACAGGCAGTGGGCATCATCCCATGGGCAGCCATCTGCAGTTCAGTCTCCATTGGTCTTGGTGAGATTAAAGTCAGAGCGCTCAGCCCTGGCTGGCCAATCAGAGCACTGATGTTCTCAGAGGCACAGACTCAGGCTTAAGATGGGCCCAGAGCCAATGAGACACAAGGGGCCAGGGCTGTGGAGATGGACACACCTGCCAGGATCAGGGCCTGCAGCTGCTGCAGCCACTCTGAAGCCAGAGGTAAGAGAAAAGAAATCTAGGTAAGATCACAAGAGCACCCAGATCTAACCATACCTGAAGCTCACGAAACACCAAGGATCTCTGTGTGAGTTAACCACAAGTAGCGGAAGCCACTTTAGTTTGTTTGGGTTTTTTTGTTTTTTGAATCATGTGCACCTAAATGAGTCCTTCCTGATATAGCCAGAAGCTCTCAAATCCTCAATTTGCCAAGATTATTTTGGGGTTGCATTAGCAAAGGAAAAGCAGCTACTGGGGGCACTGAGAAGTCAATGGCTGCAAAAACGGACACAGCAACCATAACACCAGGCTTGTGTGTACAGCGAGTTTCCGGATTGACCTCCCCGTCTTTTGTCACTGGTGATGACCAACAATGCACAGGCCTCGCCTGCACTGGCTCCCTGGCCCTCCTCTGTTCTCATTTAACAAGCATTCACTCGATGCCTACTCTGTGCCCATTCCACGCCAGGCCTGGGGACTCCAGAGGCATCATGGAGACATCGTCTCCATCTTTGTGGAGTTCACAGGAAGACCACGGGGAGAGAGGGCAGGGACGGGGTCAGGGCAGGGGACGTAGGTAGGGCAAAATCTCAGCCAGGACCCAGGAGAGCACGAGAGCCAGGTGGCCTAGTGAGCGGCCAGGTGGACAGCAGTGGGACCCAAGGGCCCACGGCAGCAGGAAGTTGGGGGACCCATGACAAGCGCACCACCTCTGCTGGGTGCGCCATTCCCTTGTTCTCTTGTTATCGATGCTCTGGCATCAGGGCCTCCCCTAGAGGAGGCCCACCTATAAGGACACTCTGTGTGTGTATGTGCATGTGTGCCACTGAGGCCTGAGCCCAGGGCCTTGGGCTGAGCTCTCCCGCTGCTCTGGAAAGGTCTTACTAAATTTCCCAGGCTGAGCTTGAATTTTTGATCTTCCTGCCTCAGCCTACCAAAGTTCTGGGATTATAAGCATGTGCCCACTGCCTAGCTTCTTTCTGCACGTTGCCCATAGCCCCGGTGAGCGTGTGAACTGTGACTTGGGCCTGGATCGCCGGCCCCTGCTCCATCCCTAGGATCCAGCCAAGCCTCCCAGGCCAGGCCCTCAGTTTCCACACCTCCTCCAGCACCTCCTCCCCTCTCCCTCTCCTGCACCCCTCACCTCCTCACCATCCCCTTGGAAGGTCACCCCAGGGAGGTCAGCCCCAGGCGGTACCCAGAGTGGTGGGCTTGGACTCTGCCCCAGAATGCCAGGCCCTCCACCTCCGCACGACTCTGGACCCAGGTCCGTGTAGCCGAGTTTCCAGCCCTGGCCTGAGTCAGATTTTCTTTCCCAAAGCGTTACCAGCCGCCCTGTCTTAGGCGCTGCTTCTGACTGTTTCCCTAGAAGCTACTTCACAATTCTCCTCGAACTCCGATGACCCGCCATCCTTTATAGGTACGCTGATGTGATGCCCACTGTCAGGGATTTCTGTGCTCCTACTGCTGAGAGGACAGACAGCTGTCCATGCCTGCCCAGTACCCTTGACTGGCGTGGGCAAGAGTTTCTAGGCCTTCCAGCAATGAATCAGGAAGCATTCCCGCCTGCTCCCAGGGTCTCTCTACGTAATTATTTCTTCCTTTAATGTGTGATGAAATCCAACATTACACTTCCAACATCTGTCAGAGACAGAATGATATTTCTTTACTCACTCGTAATACCGGAAATCTGCCTCCTTTCAGTGATCGTTCCAAAGAATCAACTTCTAATTCCTTTGCTAATATGCTCTGGTAATAATTTCTGCTCAGATATTTATCATTCCCTCTTTCTATCTAGGTTCTTGAGGAATCACTGATTTTATACCTTTCTCCTTTTCTAACATAGTTAATATAAAGCTATACATTTCCACCGAAGGGCTGCCATTATCTGTAGCTCACTATGAATTTTTATATTGTTTTTCCATGACTCTGTTCAAATTATGTTCCAATTTCTCTATGAAGTCTTCTTGGACCAAAGGGTTATTTGGCAATGGATCAGTTTCCCACTATCTGAGGATCCTCCAGCTCTGTCTGCAGGTCTTCTGGCTGGCTTCTACCTTAATACCAGGGTACCCCATAATTTCAACCCTTTTAAATGTTTTGAGACATTTCCGAAGCACACGGCCTCTCTTACTGAGTGGTCCACACACACCTGAAGAGGATGTGTAGGCCATATTCACCTGGGGGTACTTAAGAGCTGTCAATGTGGCTGACAGTGCTGTTCACACCTTTCAATTTTCTTTTTGTTTGCATGTTCTATCAACTACAGTGAGAGGGGAGGAGGAGTCTCCAGCCAAGACTGTGAATCTAACATGCGGGCCCCTTCACCTCTCCCCAGTCCTGCTCCAGCAATCAGCAGCCCAGGCCCCAGTTCTGCCCCAGGAATGGGACCTGAGATCTCAGGAGAGCTGCTAAGTGGTGACAGCGGCTCACTGTGCCCAAGCCGCAGTGACACTGGTCTATGTCCAATGCCTGCTTCGCTTCTGGGAGCCTGGCACGAGGACACATGGTAAGTGACATCCCGACTCACGGCTGGGGTCTCACCGCACCCTGTGTGCTGTCTCGGGGTAAGGACCCTCGGGGTGCGTGCCTGCTCCTGTGTCTGCTGCCGTGAAGGGTCTCAGGCGTGGGTCGTCTGAGAGGCTCCTGCAGCCTGAGGGGCAGCTCAGGTGTGGACACGGACTTGTACGCCTCCTCGATGAGCGCGCTGAGCCTGTGGGCGGGCTGCACGAGTGCCAGGGCTCGGATCCCTTCCCAGCCCCCCTCCCAGCCAGAAAATAAATAAATCAAAGGAAAAGAAACGCCCTGTATCTCCAGCCCTGCTCTTCACCTCGAAACCCACTTTGTCAGACACTGGCAAGGTCACAAGATCTTTAGCTTCAGACTTACGTGGTTTCTCTTCCATTTTTTTTTTTTTTTCTCACTTCAAGGTGCATCTCATTTCAAATAAAGAACGGACCAAGCAAAAAGCAGTGGCAAAGTTTATTTGAAAAACTAAAAGTGAAGAATGAGAGAGAAACTGGCTCTACACAGCAAGCCTGGGTCGAGTAAAAGAGGAAAAACCAAGATAAAAGGACAGCCTGGGAGCCAGGATTTAGCTCAGCGGCATAAGCGCCTGCCTTGCAAGTGCACAGTCATGAGTTCAATGCCGGTAACAAAAAATAAAGCAACCAGCCTGGAGACGGCTGGTGGGCTACTGTGAAGAACCACGATAACTTCTTCCATTTCCTCCTTCCAATTTGTTTATGTGCTTTTGTTTAAACATATTTTTAAAAAATAATATATAATGTGCTCTTAAATGCTAAGTTGTAATATGTGAGTTTGAATCAGAAATTCTACTTACAGGGCTGGAGATGTAGCTCAGGGGTGTAAGTGCCTACCTGGCAGGTGCAAGGTCATGAGTCGATCCCCAGTACCAAGAAGAAAGAAAGAAAGGAAAGAAAGAAAGAAAGAAAGAAAGAAAGAAAGAAAGAAAGAAATTCCACTTGTAGAAATTATTCTATAGGTATTTTTAAGAAGATGTAACAGAGGTTATTCATTGATGTAGCATTTATAACAGAAAAATAACTGGAAATGTCTGATCTTCATCACTAAGCATGACATGATTTGGTTCAAAAGCATCTCCCAAAAGCCTCCTGTGCTCAACAATGAAGCTCTAAGAAGACGATCACATCGGGGTGCTAAGCTCCCCAATGATTTAATCCATGGATGCATTCACACAACAAGGTTCTATTAGGAGGCAGAGCCTGATTGGAGGAAGTAGGTCACTGGGGGCGGGGCCTGACCATGTTTACTCCTAGCCCCGCCCTTCCTCTCCGCCCCCTCTCTTCCTGCTCACTCTGCTTCCTGGCTGCCATGAGGTGAGCAGCCCTCCTCCACCACCCCTTTCCGCCATGATGTTTCCCATGGGGCCGCTGGCGTGAACACAATAAAACCACCGGACCACGGACAGAAGCCTCTGAAACAGTGAGCTTTCCTTCTTTAGGTTGTTTTCCAAGGTATTTTGTCACAGTGATGGGAAGCTGACTAACTCCAAGGGCCTAGCTGAGCAAGGGAGGGTTCACCCATATAAAGACTAAATCTCTTCATCTAACAACATCACCAATTCATAAAACATATTATTAAGAATATCTTTTTAAAGAACAGGGAACAGAAAACATAGTAAACCATCACTTGTTCTTCAAAAAGGAAAAATATGTAAAGGTGTATTTAACTGTTGTATTTGCTTAGGATTTCTGGACTGTTATACAAAACTAGGTGACTCTGGCAGTACCGACAGTGGGTGCCTTGGGGACACCATGGATGATCCACTTTCTCTGTGTGTCCTTGTGAATTTTGACCTATGTGAGTGACCTTTCCAAAAAGAAAATAAAATGAGAAGGAAGCCCAGGGCCAGCAGAGCCATGTGCCCCCGACGGCTGACTGCACGCTTCGGGACGCCACTGCTCTCCCGCGGACAGGCTGCCTCCTCTTTCCTAGGCCTGCAGTGAAGATGGAATCAGGCAGCACGGCAAAGTGTGAAGAAAGAAAGCTGCCAGCAGTGCCTGAGCAGAGGGCTTGGAACGGGACCGTAGGACCATCAGTGTCTGAGTCACAGTCAACTATTTGCAGGCCAGCTCCTGCACCTTCACGTGTGTGCAGATAGCCTCCTCTGGCTACAGCAGAGGACCGGCTTGGTAAGCCATGCCCCACAAGAAATGTACCACAAGGCTGGGGATTTAGCTCAGCGGCATAAGCACCTGCCTTGCAAGCAGGCAATTGTGAGTTCAATCCCCAGTACCGATAAAAAGGAAAAAGACAAGAAAAAAAAAAAGAAACATACCACACTGATTCATGCATGCAACCCGCCATGGGGCCTCCAAGGACAGCCAACCACACGTACATCCTGCAGGAGGTAGCGAGAAGCACAGATGTGTCCAGCAGCTCATAGGTGCAGATGAATGCGGGGCCAGGAGGCACAGGCCTGTGTGCACAGGAGGCTGCGGTACCCCAAGCCACAGATGGAGCTGCCCAGGTATCCAGAGCTTTGCACCCATATCTCCCCCTTGCCTGGTGGTGCACGGGACCACCTATTGCAAGGTGTCTGACTCAGACCCTTGGAAACAGGCTCCCTGGGTTTGTACAGTGCTCCACTGTGGGCGGAAGAATCCCCCACCCAGCTGCTAAATCCCGGTCCTCCTGCTGATGGGCCGCTTTGCCTCCGGACACTGCAAAGTCCAGGCAACGGACACGGGACGACACTCGGTAGATAAGTGAAAATCAGTGGAAACCTCATCTCGGCCAACAGCAGCTGACAAGTAACAAATTTCATTACCTGCTTAGGTAGCGGCCCATCAAGCCACTTCAGGACACACTGAAATGCTGTGGATTCCTTCCAAAGCTGCCGGGCTCTCTGCGGATGCGGGGGCACAAGTGCGTTTTGGGTAAAGATCTTGTTCCAGTCACTCATTCTGCCTGCCTGATCCTCCCCTGGGCTTCGGTGTCACCTGTACCAAAGGAAGAAAAAAGACATCAGTGCCATGGCGCTCAAAATTCTCAAGTCTCACCCCCAAACCCGCTCTGCAGCCACATCCTGTGAACCCCGGCACAGCTGCCTCCCCTGGGAGATGTGCCCGCCTCCCTCCAGAGACCCCACCACCACCTTCCATGGGCGCGTAACTACACTGGCTTCACGACGAGCTTAGGGTTGGGCACCGTCTTGCTTTTTTTGTTACTGACACAAAATACTCGACACCCAGAGTTAAAGGAAGAAAGGTTTATTTGGCTCACGGTTTGTGGAGGTTCAGTTCATAGTTGGCTGCCTCTAAGGTAGGGCAGCACAGTAGAGGGGCATCACAGATGAGAAACAGTCCACAGCAGAGCAGGGCAGGCAGAAGCAGCAAGCAGCACGAGTGACCCCTTCTGTCCCTTATATTTTATCCAGGCACCAGCCCTTAATCCTAGAATCACGCTGTGAATCAATTCCAGCATCACATCCTTGATCCAGCCACCTCCAAAGCAACCCACCTATGACCACAAGGCTTTGAGGGGGTCATCCAGACATGACCTGTAACAGCACACCAGGACACAAAGAGTGGCAACCCTACTCCAGGGCTGTCTTGGGGTCTAGATAGCATCGTCCAGTCAGCACCAAGGAAACACAAATCTCAGAGCCTCTGCTGGCTCTGTTCAGAGAGGGGAACATGGCCCTTGGAGAGAAATGGTCAGTCTGACATTGCCAGGGGCCACCTTGTAAGCAGCTACCAGAGGTGCTCATCCAAAAGAGAGAACAAAAGCAGGAGCCAGGGCCAGTGGGCCCAGGAGTCCCCCAAAAGCCAGCCACTGAGGACAACTCAGCTTCAAAGGACCCGGCCTAGGGTGCCACCTGTCCCCTTCCAGCCAGACAGGATCCCCATGTCCCCTGGACTTTCACTGGGCTGGCACGGATTGCAACCTTGGACTTGGACCTGGACCTTCACCTCATAGAGACATGGCAGCGGGGCAACCAGAACAGCGACTCTCTCCCAAAGCGTTCCCGGGGCCCCACAAGGACAGCTCCAGCTCCTACAGAGCAGCTGGGGGAGGCATCCCCATCAAGGTCATTACTATCCACCATCCGAGACTCCAGGAAGACTGTAAAGTCCTGCCACCTCGGCAGCTGGGTATGCACACACAGACTCTGCGTGATAGCTTGGGAAATGCAGAAAACACAGCCACCAAAGAAGCTTTGTGACAGGGCTGCCTGCGAACACACACTTCCTGATCATCTATCAACACATCTGACTGAGAATGATGGAGAGGCCTGGGTCCTTGTTGACACTCTGTCCACTGTGAGGAGCCCGGCAGCTCCCTGCTTCAGGACTTTGTTGATGACGTGGGCGGTGACAGAACAAACTCAATCTTCAGAAGCTGTACTTGAGGGGCTCAGGGACTGGAGGGGCCACGTAACTCCTTGAACCAGGATGCTCCAGGTAATGGTGTGTGACAATAGAGAGCACAGCATGGGACACTGCGCATGGCGAGTCTTCCAGGAACCACTGTGTGCAGGAGCACTGGGCCTGCGAAGGGACTTCCCTAATGTGGGCGACAACAGGTGCCTTCCACGTTGCCACTGAAACGGCACAGAAGCACATGGGGACCCAAATGTTTGAAAGTATCAGCAAAAATGCAAGACCACCCCCCTCTGTGCCAATTTTTGTGTTCTGGAAAATGCAGCTTTTCACTTTTCAGAAAGTTTTTTTTTAATGTTGCACTTTTAAACAAATTTGTGTTTCTCACTTTTGATTTCCAATACAGCCACCACTCACATAAGTAAAATTCCTTGGGTTCCTCAGTAACTTTCTTTAAAAGTAGAGGGGTCTGAGACCCCAAGTCTGAGGGGTCAGGGGAGTGCAGTATGTGGGGAGTGGCCAGCACATGCCAGCCAGCCTGAGGTGCCCCCCACAACTCCAAGGACCTTGGCCCAGGGTCTTGCCTCCCCTGAAAGGTACCCTTTGGAGGACCAGAGCCAGCCCGCTGGCTTGGGACATGGCTAGCACACAGGCTTGCTGGGTTTTCTTGTTCACTGTGGGCTGCTGTGTCTCAGCACCCCCCATCCTGTGGGCGGAGTCTCACCATATTCCCTGCATAGTGTCAGAGAACTGGTGGCCCCCAAAGAGCCACGAAAGACAAAGTCTGCCTGGGGACTCAGCCCAGCTGCCCACCCTGCTGTGTGCCCAGAGCTGTCTAGGTCTGGCCAGCCAGAACCCCATGGCTCCCTGGGCACCACAGAGGCTGGGAGGAGGAGATGCCCAGGATTGTGAGGAGGGGGGCAGGAGCAGCCAACAGAACAGATGCAGACCCCACGGCAGGGATGGCTGAGGGCAGGCAGTCCCCTCTGCCACCAAAGCAATGTCCATCACCAAATGCCTCGGAAGCTACTCTCCTCCTCCCACAGCTCAATAGTGGCCTCCACTGATGTCCTCTTATCCTCTGTAATGTGATTAACACAGGTCCTTGAGATGCAGATTGCCCTAGCACAGGGGTCCTTAGGACACACATGCAGGAGGTGTCAGAAAGGAGCCAAGTACAACAGACACAGCCTGGAGCCAAGGGATGCAGGGGCTCTGGAAACCAGAGAAAGGAACAGCCGCTCCCCTAGAGGCTCCAAAAGGGACCTGCCCTGCCCAAGCCTGTGACTAACCCAAAGAGACTGAATCTGAACCTCATTAACTGGAAAAGAATAAATCTGTGTTACCTCAAGGCACCTATGTTCCCGGGATTCTGTTGACAGCAGCCCCAGGAAACTCAGAGAATTGTCCACAACCTGCACCCACAACTCAGAGAATTGTCCACAACCTGCACCCACAAGTGGCCAGACCACATGCACCCAGAGGGCACCTTCTCCAGCAGGGCCTCCCAGACAACCCTGGGGCCCAGCACCCTGGCTCACAAGGCCCCAGGGCTGCTGCTGGTCACAGCACTGATCACCTGATAGCCAGCCTTTGGCAGAAGGAATCTTGAGCCTCCTAAACCTAGTGCCTTGCTCACTGAACTCTGTAAACAGCCACAACCTCCAACAAGCCTCGGTTGGGGTGGCCCTTGGGCTTTATTGGGTTATCTTCCCGAAGCAATGCTGTCTTCAGGGTACCCTTCATGAAGAAATGGAGCCGGAGGTGCACCTACCCACTTCCTGTTGCTGGAAGGAGGGCTGTCCCCACAGGGTCATCCAGCCTCCTACTCACCAGCTCTCAGTGCCACCTCCCACCAGCAGATGCTGCTCAAGAGCAAGCCTTGCCCTGCCCCTCCAGCCACAGCAGGCCCAGGCTGGGGAGGAAGGTGTACTTCTGCAAGGCCTGGACCTCTCAGGGAATCCCTGAACAGAACAGGACAGTGTCTCAGGGTTGACACCTGGGTCACACCAGGGTGAGCTCCTATGCAGCCAGGGGCTATTACCCCACCCCGCCCAGCCCACCCCATCTCCTTAGGGTGAGTGTGGGTCCCTACCTTCACCTGATCGCCCACCCGGCCACCTACAGAGAAGTCACACATGCACAGGGCGGGGCATTTAACGATGTCCTGGAAGATCATGAACTCTGCAGGAAGAACCCCCCAGTGATTAAATAGGAATGCCCTGGAGAAAGGCAGAAGGTCATCGGACACTGAACATAGAAAGGGACCCATGCTTTAAGGAGTCCTAGAATGGGCTCTCCAGGGGAAAAAAAGAAGGGGCATCAGTTTTTACTAAGCCCCTGAGTGAGCCAGGGACTCAGACATTTCTATAATTATCATTCCAACAACTTAAATAACACCACTGAGACTCAGGTTCTGTGGCCATCCAGTGGTGACCACCTAACACTGTCCAACTATGCCACCCCAATCCTGATCCCGGCCAACAGACCAAGAGAAGCCAAGGGAGATGAGACGCCGAAGGGAGGGTGGCAGAAGTCATAGTGGCAGGCTGGGGGAGGAGCCTAGGGATCAGACCGGTTATCAGTCCTCCCAGGTGCAGGAGAGAGGTTCTCCTCCCTGCCTGTATTGTTCCAACCTACAAATGAGGACTGTGAAGTCTCCTGGGGTCTTCAAGTCTACAAACGTTGAACAAATAATAACGAAATACAAGCACCTATCTCATGCCAGACACGGGAAGACTTTCAAAGGCCCCAACTCCAAGAAGCGGAAACTCCAGTCTGGAGAAAAAACCTTAGAGCAAGGGTAAGCCAGACAACACGAAGCCGGACCCAAATCCCCTCCAGGAAAAAGGCGGGGACCAGACCGCCAAAGACAGACCAGCAAGGCTTAAATCACACACACGCACAAGTACACACACTGGATCCCGGGGGGAGGGAGGAGGAGGCAGCTGCCCAGCGAAGCCTTCTTGCCAAGAAGACTGGGACGTTTGGTGTGCCTGAGACCTGGGCAATAGGGGAGTCTGGGCCGTGTGCCTTTCCTTCACTTAACCCTGCACCACGCAGCAGACAAGCGCGCTGTTCCCGCAGGATGTGCGGAGCAGCGGGGCCAGGACAGCGCACCCCTGAAAGCTGTGCCAGAGACCATTTCACCGCTGTCCCCAACACTCCTCCTCCTCCCACCGCACGCGTGGGACCCACTGCCTTCGCGGACTTCCATAGGCCTCGCGCGCCCCGGCCCCAGCGCAGGGTCAGACGCGGGAGAGCGGCAGTGGCAGGCCGCCCAATCTAGGCGAGTCAGCGGGCCAGTCCTGCGCGAGGTAGGCGGGATGGGAAGGGCCGCGGGGTGCGTGGAGGGCCGCAGAGGCGCCGGGAAAGGATGCGTAAGAACGAGACTGGGGCAGGACACCACTGGCCCCGCCGGCCCCACTAGCGCCCCTTCCGCCTGGGATTCGGGGCTCCAGGGGCTCAGGGGTCAGCAGTCAAGAGGCGCGGAGGGGGGGGAAACCCGAAGGAGCCCAGGACGCCCAACGACGTGGGCCACCCCAATCACCGGGGTGGGTGGTTGCGACCTGGGCCCGGTCTCACTCCGTATCCCTCACCCCGCCACCACAGCGCCCGGCAGACTCAAGTGTTCATGTAGCGCTGGGCCAAATCCCACCCCAGGACAGCGAGGCCTAGCTGACTACGTCGCCCCGGCGTCCCCACGCCGCGTCGGTCTCCCCCACGGCGCCAGCCCACTTGGTTGCGCCCACCGCCGTCCACGTTACCTAGGAGACGGGCCCGCAGCACAGAGCAGAGAGCACCAAGGCCCACGCTTTCCAAGAAGTCCCCGCAGCACCAGGATCCAAAGGTTCAGTGTTCAGTGCCGGACGGAGACCACAGGCCTCAAAGCCCTCCTGATCAAAGAGTGCACCCGGCCCGCTGCCAACCGCGACAGGAGCCTCCGACCGCGGCGCGGGCTCTCAGGCCGGGAACCCGCCCCGCGTCTCTCTTGTCGTCTGGGTCCCGGAGCCAATCAGAGCCAGAGTCCAGGGACTCCGCTCCTTGAGCATCAGCCTATAGGCGCAGCGGCGGGCCCGTCCTGATTTGCATGGACGACAAACGTTCCACCAATGAGGATTGACTGACATGAGAGCTAGTCAATAAGAAGCTCCTAGAGGCGTGGCCGCAGGCGTCCCACGAGGTGAAGATGCTGCGGGCGGAACCTGCAGGAGCGAGCGGGATTCGGGGGCGCTAAAGTCGCTGGGGCCGGGCGGGAAGGAAGATCTGGAGCGGGGCGCAGGATCCGGAGCTGGAGCCCCCAGGTGAGTGCAGGGGGAGACCCCAGGGGGCCGCGATGCTCAAGTACCCGCGTCCCGAGATCGGTATCGGGCGTCATGGTCCCTCTCCGACTGTCTTTCCGGCCCTGCCTCCGCCGCCGTCCTCACCTCCTCTCCAGCCCCCTCACCTCCTGCTCCACTGTCTCCCTTCCCCCATCGCATCTTCCCGCTGTTTCCCCGCCGTCCCACTTGACCTCGCAGCTTGCATCCCCGACCCCAGCCTCAAACTTCAACCCCAGCCTGTGTCTCCCCGCACCCCCGCCTCTGCGGTCCCCAACCTTACCTCCCCTTCCCCGCACCTTTCCCGTCCCCCTCCTGGCCTCTGCGCAGCCCTGGCTCTCCGTGCCGGTCTTCCGCACTTCTCTCCCGCCTGCTCCTTGGTGCATCCTTCCGGCTCGCCGCCTGCCCCCATGGCCCTCCGGTCCCTGACCCCATCCTGTCACCCGTTCTGCCTTCCGCCCGTGCCCTGACACGAAGCGCTTCCCCACCTCCCTACCTGCTGCTGCTCCTGCGGGATGCAGGGCACAGGCTGCTGCACCGCTCCCTGCTGCAGTGCCAGCGACCGGGCGCACCTGCCCACCTGCCCGCCCTCCCATTGGGCACATCCAGCTTGCTCCTCCTAGCATTTGTCCTGGGGAGACTCCCGCAGGGGCCCCTGGAGCATCCTGCGGTCTCCAAGTGCAAAGCCCCTCAGCACCCTTCCCTGCCTCCTTCCCTGGCCACCATCTCCCTCCCCACCCCACCCCCACTTTCTGTTCAGCCTCACTTTGTGATTCAGCATTTTTGGGGTTGGTAACTTTTTTTGCTTCCGGGCATGATAGGGACCCGTCTGAAGGCAGGTGTTTTGAGCCTTGATATTAGCAGGGTCACCTTCAAAACCGGACCTGAGCTGCCTGTTTGGGAGGGGAGCCAGAGCAGGGACCCGGCAGTGGGGGTTACCTTTTCCTCCCATCGCTTTGCCTGCCTTGGTTGAACCGCTTCCAAGGGGAGATGACATAAGTAATAGCTCTTGGAGAAATGAGCTGTTAGCATTTATGGAAATTAACACATCCACATCCCAGGAGCAAGAACACCAAGTTCAGGCCACAGCTGTCCCTGTCTGTCACTTCACGATTTCTTTTCTCTGCAACTTCTCCCCTTCAAAATGCCAGCGCCCCCCAACCCATGCCAAGAGCAAGCTTCCACTCTGTCCACGAAGCCGCATTAAGCCCTGCGCTGCAGGGTTTGGGGACCTGCGTGTGGAGAGTCGCATTTCTCCACCTGATTCTCTCTTGGCAGAGGTGTCTGTCCACTGCAGAGCCCAGGCTCACATGCAGCTTCTGGGCTCCCGACCCTGGGCTTTCACAGTGCTGGGCCCCCCGGGTGCAGTCGGCTCCCCAGGTCCTGTTCAGCCTCTCTGGGGATGCTGTCCAAGTCTACATGGGCCTCGTGGCACCTGGAATGTACCCCAAAGGTTTCCCATATAAAACTGAGGTCCATCCTTTTCCTCTTTCCTATGCTAGCCTATTAATAAATGCCTTCACGTGCGCCGATCCAGACTGGGACTGAGCCATCAGGACCCAGGACTGAGCCAGGCAGTGGCCGGGGGACTAATGTAGAAAAACTTGAACTCTGTTGCGTGTGTTTATAGCGCTCAAAGCCTGTATGGGTCTGGATGCGACCCTGGATGGGAGGAAGCATCCACGAGCCCCTGTCCTTTGGAGATGGGGTGAGGTGAGATTCAGGCCGGGAGTGCCGGGTTGCCCCCAAGGACGGGGGCTCCTGCAGTGGGCCCCGGTGGGCCTGCAGTTCAGGGAGGCTTCGTTTCTTTCCTTCGCTCCTTTCCTTTTTGTGTCAAATGATTTGGGAAACGCGTGACACTGAGGTTTGGCTGGGCAGTTTGGGGGCAGGGCAAGGAGGGTCCCTGTGTTTGTTGGTGCCTGAGCATGGCAACTGGGCACATGGTCTGTCTTATAGGGAAGCCCGCTGCGCTGTTAGGCCGCTGGGAACACATTTCGGTCGGTGTTCACAAACGCTTGGTGAGCAGCATGTGTTTGGACCTTGGCTGAATTCTGTGATCATGATGTCACCAAAAGTCCCAGAGGCCAAGCCTTTTTCTGAGTTCCTGAAAAAGAAGATAGCACAGCAGGCAGTGGTGGCAGCATCTAAGAAAGGTTGACTTTGGAGGTAGCCAGGGCCAAGGACCCCACTACTGTCCTGCGCCCTCTCTCAGACCTCAGCATGAGGTCTCGCCTCATAGGGCAGAAGACCCCAAAGCTGCAAGGGGCCTGCTTCTGCAGCCATCAGAATGGCAGTGGTTCCTCCGGGCCACACACAGGCAGCGAGGGGCTGGCACAACCCATGCTGTCCACTTATCTGGACTCAGCGGAAGCCAACACCCCAAGGATGTGACCCTTTTATGAGGTGACCCTGTTGAGGGATCACTGACATTCCCAGAAGCAGCCGGCAGCCTCAGCTGTGTCTGAGCCCGGGAAAGGGCTGTTGGGAGAGAGGAAGGTGCCAGTAACCATGGAGAATTCTCAGACTCCGATCCCACCTGGCCTGGCTGGCCCTGGTGCAGGGGTATCATTCATGGCCATCAGGCAGGTGTCCAGAGGCCCTGGGTAAGAGTAGGTAGAGGGGGACTTCTGGAGGAACAAGCACACGGGAGCCACAATTCCGACCTTGCTTTGTGTCAGGGCTTTTATATAGGCCTCCCTGGGAAACTGAGGCAGTAATAGCAACACACACCCCAGCCTGCCAGCTGGTGAAGGCACCTTTGTAATGCTCCTCCCCTGCCAGGACTCAGGCAGGTGCCCACTGTGCGGTGCAGATGAGCTCCAGGTGACCCTCCAGGCTCGGTGCTCTGCTCGATGTGTAGCCCTGAGCAGGTGCTGGATCCCGGTATCCTTCACCACATCCTGGCCGCCTTCCCCTCCCGTTCCATGAGCATTTCCAAGTTCCTAACTCTTACCCCGCCAGACGGGCACTCAAGAGTCCCTGGCCCTGCTCTGCTAAGCGCTTAGCCCCAGAGACCCGGGAGTGCGCTGTGTGGGGCTGCGTGTGTCACTTGTCACAGAGCCTTACACCCCACCCTTCTGCCTGCCGGGCCACCCAGCTTTTCTCTTTCCAGCCATGGGAAAGATGGCTTGAAGAGGAACTGTTTTGAGCTATGCAGATAAAACAGGATTGGGAGAGGCGGGAATTGCAGAGAAAAGGTGGGGATCATTCCCTCATTTCCCACGCAATGCATGGACTCCCCCATTATATGGGTTCTCCTCACCATGACCTTGCTGAGTGGTTGGAACTCAGCAATGAATTGTTGCTGTAATAAGATACCCAAGACTCGGCCATTTATAGAGAAGAAGAGTTTGGCTCATAGCTCTAGAGGCTGAGAGGTGCAGAACACCATGCTGGCCATTTGGGTCACAGCACAGCATAAGATGCCCGTGTGTCACTTGATAAACGCACCCATGCTATCCAGAGATACTGACCCTCGTGACCTCACCGAATCATAGTCACCTCCCCAAAATCCTTCTTCTCCAGAAGCCACCCACATAGGCATGGAGGGATTTGGCTTCCAACCCATGCAATCTGGGGACACCTTCGAACCACAGCCCCACACGCACAGTTCTTCCCCTATCTCCACACCAGATTCGAGACAAGCCAGCACGCCGCCTGCCTCAGGGACCGTTTTCCCAGTGGAAGAGCCATTTCCTGGGTGCTGTGGGTCACAAGCCTTGTCACTAGCCTACGTCAGCCAAGTGGCTTTGACCACCCTTTACCAAGAATGGCAGAGCAGCACTGTCCTTCCAGGAGAGTCCAATCCCCGCCAGTGCCCTCTCAGATCCCACCTAAGACCCCAAAATAGAGCTCAGTGGCTGAGGTTTCCTGAGTTGGTTCAGGAGTCTACTCATGGGGTCTGGGATGGCCTGGAAGAACCCTGCCAATCATTTGCAGGGGGAGAGACCAGAGGGGACCCCCAGAGTCATCCCCCAGCCTGGACTCAATGGGCACAGTGGCTTCCAGCAGCCTTTCCTTCCTGTCCCTTCTAGATGCAATAACAGGATGCTGGACAAGGAGATTCAGATGGAAGCCATTTCAGTAGAAAATAAACTTAAATCTACGACACTATTTAAAACCTGCGAATGCCAGTGAGGAGTAAAGGCCTTTGTGGCTGACATTTGAAGGGCCAGTGACAAGCAAAGGCCACCCAGCTGTAGCCTTGAGACAGAGTCAGTAAAGGCATGCAGTCACTGCAGAGAAACTGGGCAGGGGAGTGGGGATGTTTGACGTAGACCTGGCAGACAGACAGGACTGTGATGGGCAGAGGGGGAAGAGACAAGGACACAGAGGGGGTACCAGGAGCAAAGAGGGGAGCCCCGGAGGCTCCCGACTTCCTGGAAGGAAGCAGGGCAGAGAAGGGGCTCCCAGGCCAGAAGCATCTCTGGAGCCAGACCCCCCTGCTGGCTGTGCACGTGGGCACTGAGAAGGCAGGGCTGGATGTGGGGTAATGGCTGATCGCTGGTGACTGCTGGCAGTGGACAAAGCCACCTGGGCATTAGGGACAAGAGTAAGGAGTAGAAGACACCGGAAGGAAGGCTGCAGGTGCAGGACTCAGGGGAGACAGAGGTCAAGATGGAAGGTCAAGAGTTATTAACTGCCCCGGCAGAGCACTGTGCTGTGCAAGCAGGAAGGAGCAGAATCCCCTACAGACGACTGCCTGCTTTCTTCTTGGGGTCAGCTCCTCGCTTCTTACCAGACCTGCAGCTCAGGGCAGCTTTCCTAAGTGGAGGTCCCCGAGCCAGGACACCAAGAAGCCAGGACCCAAAGCCACTCTCGGCTGCCTGCGTGACTCATGAGGAATTTGACAAATCAAGAAAGGAAAGGATATGGACCAGTCACGCCAGTTACTGGGAAGCCGAGGAAGGAGAATCCAAGTTCAAAGCCAGGCCTGCCTCGGCAACTTTAACCGCACCGAGTCTCAAAGTAAAATTCAAAAACAAGGCCCGGAAGACCCCTGGCTTCACTCAGCAGTCCCGCAGCAAGTGAGGGGCGGCAGATTACACTCTAGGGGTAGCAGGCCACAGAGAAAGACAGTGGCAGTCACCAGCCCTGCAGCAGGACCTGTCCGGCCTGTCCTTCAGCAGATTCTGTGATGCACCTCTCTTCTGACGTTGGGGACCGTTTCTTGGGACTTGGCAGCCTCCAGTGGCTCCGCATTGTGACCACAGAGAGTTTGGGGGAGCCCCAAAGACCAAGCCACTGTGCACATTCCTCAGGCCCGTAGGCCTGGACAATCTGAAAGGTCCCCGTGCAGCAGGGTGAGTCCTTCGCAGCCCCTGAGGACCGGGACCACACCAACAGGCACTTGGGAGCGGTCCGCCTGCTGGGAGCTTCTTTCCCTCTCCCTCTGCTTGAAGCCGCAAGTTGGGAAACATTGCTGACGTTGAAAGGCCCTGGTGAGAAGAGCTTCCCTTCGTTCCCTTAATTCTCGGAAACGCGCAGAGCCCCCCAACCCGTCCCTCTGGAGCAGCCCCAGCTGTGGTCAGCTTTGAACTAAAACCGTGCGTGCGTGCGTGCGTGCGTGCGTGCGTGCGTGCGTGCGTGCGTGCGCCGACCCCGCACATGCGCAGTGCTTAGCAAGAGGCCGTGTGGTTGTTTCCCAGCCCCTTGGAATGCGGTGATTCGGGGCCACGGCCCACAAAGCCCTTCACTTCTGTGCTGTAGAGGAGCAGGTCTTTGTTACTGTGTACCTGACAGGGCGCTTCTGTCACCTCTCTGTCCTGTCTGCACCGTGGCTGTGCTCCATCCGTCCGTCTAGGTGCGTCCTGTGTGTCCCCCGCTTCCCTCCCACCCCAGCTCCTGGTTCCTCTAGACCCCACGGAGGGTATTAACTTTCCCTGGCAATGAGTAGGTGCTATTTTTAGCTGTCCAGAACTAGGCGTTCAGGTGTCACAGACAGAAGGCCCAGAGCAATCTCGTCCCCTTCTTCCTCCTGCAAAGGACGCAGGGAGCCTGGAGCTAAAATTGCAGATCCTAACTCCTTGCCCTTTCCGCGGGGACACAGGTGCGCGCTGCTCCCCACAAGAGACAGAACGCCTCCCTGTTTACATCCTGCTCATGCCGAGGTAGCGGGCGCTCAGAGACCTCAGAGCCCTGTACCAGGCACCTGGGGATGCTGCCACGCTTTCTCCTCATCGTGGAAGATGGGTTTGGGAGAAACCACTATACCAGCTCCCACAGAGAGTGGACCCTGACCCTCTGGTGCATGTGACAGACCCGGAGGCTGGGGATGTCTGTCCTCGTGGTCCCTTGAATCAGAAGGATGAAGTCACTGCCCTCAGGGTCAGGAGCAGGGAGAGGGAACATATGGACCAGAGCACCAAGATCATCTGTAGTCTATGACAGGTGTCTGCAGCTGAGAAAGAAAGGTCTTGGGCCCTGAATTTTATTTTTCTTTTTTTGGAGACGAGGTCCAGGCTGCCTTCATCTTGCAGGAGACAAGGTCCAGGCTGCCTTCATCTTGCAGTGATCCTCCTATCTCAGCCTCCGGAGTGCTTAGGATTGCAGCTGGCTCCCTGGACATTCTTGGGAGGTGTCCAGCTTCCTCTGTGGCTGAGCTGAGTCACTTCCCAAAGGAGAGGAAAGAAGTTGACCAGGTCCCCCCATGCTGGGCCTCCAAGCCCTGCCCACACTGTTCCTGGGGGACCCCTGAGCCACCCACAAGACCATCTCCAAAATCGCATGCATGCATGCATGCACCCACAGCCCTGTGTGTAGCTGGGTGCCCACTTCTTGTCTCATAGCCCTAAAGTTCTGGCAAAGCCCCCTGGTGCTGCTGGGAGGACTTGGCGCAGAGGGTCCTCCCCACCCTCTGGCAGCTGGTAACCATGACAACATGAGCTATTGGAGTGTCCCAGCCACCTGCTGGGCCATATGTGAGTCCTGGCAGGCCCCCGGGGCCCATGTGGATGTCTGAGGACCAGTAGGGGGCGGGCAGGGAGCCCTTGACCTGGGACCCTACCCTAAGTCCCTGGAGGGAGCAGGAGAATTCCGGTCCCCACACTCAGTGGGTTCCCTGGTGTGTCTTAACGCAGACTCCAGTCCAGCTAACTTTGCTCTGGGGTGATGTGGGACTGAGTCCTGGGCTTCTGCAGCCAGCAGCCTTGGGAGAGTCCCATTGGGCCTCTCAGCTAAGTGATGCAGCCGTGCCTCCTCCCTCAAGGAAGAGGGCTGAGAGCCCCCCCCCCAACAGTATCTGCTGATGCAGCGGGGTCACATGCAGCCCTCTGACCAAGCCCTTCAACAGCGTCATGCAGGTCTCTAAACTGCCCTCTCCACAGTGATCGTTTCTGCTGGTACCCGGCCTCTCCCAGCCCTTGTGGCCCCATGAGGATGGGGCGTGCTGTCTCCGTAACCTCTTCCCTCCACTGAGCCCAGGATGAGAGCAATCAGAGAAGGGAATCTCCATGCAGAAACCACCCAGTGCATGTCCTCCCCTGCCCACACTGCCAGCCCTCAGGATCAGATGCACCCATTGGTGCGGCAGACAGCCCTGGCTGGGCTTCCAGGGCCCTGTGTCTGCTGTGCCGGGGCGGCAGAGGACAGTACACAGAAGGCACCACCCCCGCAGGCCAGGCATGCACTCTGGGGACCTAGCTGAACTCCCAGAATAGAAGGATGCCGCAAAACCAGGGTTCCCCCTCCTGGTACTCCCCTACATGGCACCTCCACCCATGTGCTGCCATCTGGGGCTCCAAGCCACAAGGCTCAGCACTGGGACCCTGAGGCACAAGCCGCTCTGTGGCCCTGCCACTGCCCTCTGTGTCTACACCACCCCTGAAGCTGACCTGCCCATGTGGTGCACCTTGGGCCACGCCATGGCACCCAAACTTTGTCTCCCCAGGGCTGGCCCTGGTGGGACCTTGTGAGACTGGGTCCTGGGTTTGGCAGAAGGCACCTGGACTGCTAGAGGCTGACCACACTCCTGGGGGACCCTGCCAGGGCTCCTCCCCTAGAGGCACAGTCCTGCCCTGGAGGGTGGGCAGCAGGAAGAGTCCCACAAAGCTAGGTGCACAGGCCCTCCAGACAGAGCAGCTGTGGTCCTGCAGCTGGCATCATAGTCTAATGCCCACAGGGTCTACCACTTGGCATCTGGCCACATGGCTCCACCTCCCAGCCCTTCACCCTGCCCTGTCTCAGCCATAGCTGTAGCCACTGCCAGCCGAGGCCAGTACTGTTCCCATCTTTCCGGGAGTTGAACCCAGGGCATTTGCACTGACTGTATCTCCAGCTTATTTTGTTTTTTTTATTTTGAGACAGGGTGTAATCATTCATGGACCCAGGGTGGGCTTCAACTTGGCAATCTTCCTGCCTCAGCCTCTCAGAATGCTGGCCTTACAGACCTTTGCCCGTGCCTGGCTTTTTACAAGGTTTTGCCATACCATCCAGGCGAGCATTGAACTTGCTTTGTGGCCCAGGCTGACCTCAAACCTAGCATCCTCCCATTTTAACCCCCCTCTGCCGGGGCTGGGATTACAGGTGTGTACCACCACGCCTGCCTCTGGCTGTCTCTGCTTCTCAGATACTTCGAGTCCTGTAGCTGCCTGTGGTCCCGTGACTAGTACAAGGCAGAATGAGAGTGTGACCGAGGTGACCTACGCTGCCCCCTTTGCAAGGTGGGGGCTCACTGGCCTGCTCCAGGCCATGGAGCAAGAGAGGGCACGAAGGCCCTGCTTGAGCCATGGAACGTCCCATCCCACACTCCACACAGATGGATGCTACACCGGGAAGGAGGTAGAGGGGGACGGTTGGGATTGCAGGTGGGGGCCCCCTGGCCTGCCGTCTCTGCGGACACTCCTGGCACCGCCCTTCTCACCCCGCCTTGCACACAGGACCTCTGACACCCACACCCAGCACTTGCCCGTCTTTTCCTTCTTCTGGCTGTATTACTCTGGGTCTGGACTGGGCTGGGGGAGGTTATGTAACCAGAACTTCTGTGTGCCAGGCCGCAGGCCTGTGCTCCCCCAAACGCTGTACCGCGTGCCCCTGAACCGCCCTGCTCCGTGTCGCAGCCTCCCCGAAGCCTCGCCAGCCCTGTTTTCATTTAAAAGCATGTTTTCTTGTTAATTATGTGATGGCGGAGGCACGGTGCCCAACGGTTTCCTTCTGGAGATCCTTTTACTCATCAGAGGCTTTCTCGATGTGGCAGAGTAAAGCTGGCTTTCAGATCGCTGGCGCAGCGCTACATGGACAAGGTATTAATCTTTCATGCCCCCGTCACGTGGCACTGGGACCACGGTAATCCTCTTTTAAACCGTCCATTATTTATTCTTACTGTCCCCTGGAGACCAGGGAGGGGCCCGGCGCCTGGGTCTCAAATGTGAATGCAGGGAGCGCTGGGGAAAGTCTTACCATCCTCCCCGAGCGGAGACCCCCAGAAACGGGCCACTTGCCCCAGAAGAAAGCAGCCTCTGGCCTTCACACAGCCAGGGACAGTGAGAGAACAGCGCGTGGTCCTCCCCACCCCTGGCCTCCTGTCCCTCAGTCTCTATTACTCTCCATCTGCCATGGCTGCCTGAAAATATGAAGTGGAAATTAGCAGAAATCCATGTGTGGTCAGAAATTTCTATGATAGCCAGGCAGGGTGACGCACTCCCATGATCCCAGCACTCAGGAAGCTGAGGCAGGAGGATCACTGTGAATTCAAGGCCAGCCTGGACTACAACGTGAGCCCACGACCAGCCTGCACTGCATAGCGAGACCCTGTCTCAAAAAGACAAAAAAAGGAATGAAAGAGAAAGATGTTAGTATGTGGCTTGCTCGATTCTGTGATGGGTTGCTACTCTTCCCACACCTAATTTGTAAATGACTTTGCCAAAGGGACATTGTGTAGGGAAAGCATTGCATGTGTGGGATTCCGTGCTGTCCACAGTTTCAGTCCTCTGCTGGGCGGGCTTGGGGCTGTCCCCAGGGAGAGAGGGACACCACCGCCACCGCATTCATTCCTAGAACCACAAACATCAGGTTTCCAAACAGCACTTTTTATTCTCACAGTCCAGGAAGCTGAAGGTGTGGGCAGGGCTGGTGCCTTTGAGGGGCTCTGGGGCATGGAGCAGGAGTCGCTAGACTGTCAGGCTCCTGGTGGCGGCCACAGTCCCTGGTGTCCCTTAGCTTGTAGACATACCACCTCCATCTCAACCTCCATCGCTCCCCGTGCTTTTCTGTGTCTGTCACCTCTTCTTACAGGGACCATTGACATTAGAGGGAAAGCCAGTTTAACCAAGGTGATCACACTGTAGTATCCTTACCTAAAATGTCGCAAAAACCCTTTTGCCAAGTAAGGTCACATTCGCAGGCACCGGGGGGCCAGGGCCAGATGTCTCCAGCGGGGGACACATTTCAACCCACAAAGGCAGGTTTCCGGTGCTGATTGCTATCCCTAGCCCTGGCACCCCTTCAACAGCTTCTGCGGCTTGCATTCCTGTCCTGCGTGCAGCGCACGGTGGCTGAGGTGATGGATGTGGCAGAGTGTGGAGCGGGGCCCCCTGGATTGACTCACTGAAGCCAACCCTGCACTCAGAGCCAGAGCCAGAGCCCACAACTAGGAGTGGGGTCCAGTGTGGGGTCTCCTCGGTCCCCTCGATCAGGGGCATAGGAGCCCGACACGTCTGGGTCTAGAGAACTCAGCATTCCAGCCAGGCAGCAGCAGGACCATGTGCGCCGAAACAGGACACGGCATCCCACTGGGGCAGGGGGGACTGGGGGTGTGCCCTATCTGCGGGGTGCCAGTCTGCGCTTCCCCCTGGAGGGGCAGGTTCATGCTGCAGACTCGAGGGAGGCCTGGGGATGAGCTAGCAGCCGGTGTTCTGGGTGCCCATAGAGCACAAGGCAGAGGTTCGGATGCCCCTGGCCAACATTCCTCCCAGACGTCCGACTCCCGCTTTGCAAATGAAATCTGGGTCTTTGCCCCAGCTTCTTCCAACCTCATGGCTAAGGTCTCCTCCGTGGTCAGTCAATAGCAGGGCGGGATCTGTTTGGCTTAAAGCCCCAGGGATCAGCTGGGAGGGTCAGCTTGTTCGTGCCAAGCACAGCAAAGTGCACAGCCGGACCCATCAGCTGGGAGTAGGCAGCTGCCATTGTGAGGAAGAAGATGGCATCATCTGGGCACCATGGCAGCACCCCAACTCTCAGGGGGCCTCCTGGCCCATGGAAGGTCACCCCAGGTGTGGGTGAGTCCCGAACTCCAGAGGGAAAGGGGCCCCAACCATACCTGGGGCCAAGAATGAGTCAATGAGTGGCCATTTGCTTGATGGTACAAGAGGCCACCTGGCTGGCCACCTGCATAATTGACCTCCCTCTGAAATCACCCATCTCAAACACCAGGATGCCAGCCTCTCCTTGCTCTGTCCTCCCTGGGGTGCAAGCAGTTAAAACCCGCCCCCTCCCCCCAGGAAGCCAATACTGCAACCTGGAGTCTCCCCAACCATCCATCCCTCCAGTGTCCCTCCAACCCCCAGCCTGGCATCCCCACCCCCTGCCTTGCTGAATCAGGCTCTGGGTTGCATCCTTACGGAGAAGGATTCTTGTTTCTGCTAGACTTTCCCCCTTTGGCTCCCTTCATGTCTCAATCTGGCCCAGAGGGGAGACTCAGCATTTCCTTTATCCCTTCGTGGCGGATTCTCCAGGAAGGAGCAGAGCATGGGGCTCTGCGGGTGACACACAGGCATTACACAGATGTCACTATTGCTCTTGCCGCAGTCCACCGTCTCCCGGATCCCCCGGCCCCACCCTTCCCAGCTCAATGATTACCTGGCCACACGTGGCACTTCTGTCCAGGTAGATGCCGTGCAGCACAGCTAGGAGGCACCAGAGGTGCTCCAAGGTGGGTGGTGAGGTGCCAATGGTGCCCTCTGGGCTTGTGTGGTGGTGAGGATGCAGCAGGGGCGTTGCCTCCCCAGGGAGCCCCTTGGTGGCATTGATGAGAAAGATTCTGGCTGTGGTCATTGGTCCCCACAGGCGGCTCCCACTTGGCATGAAGGGCAAAGCTTGAGTTTCAAAAAGAAGACAACCAGGTCCCCTTGCACCATGCTGGTGCCCCTCACGGTGACAGTGGTCCTTGACCTCGGGAGAGGACAGCCTCCCTGGTCCTCCCTTTGTCCTGTCCACCTCTCAGGACAGGACCCACCAGCCCCACAGCAGCACAGGGGTGAGAGATGTCTCCATGGACTGCAAGGGAGGGGAGGCAGAGCTGCCCTGGGGACTTACTTATGCAGAAGGCCTAGGCCTCGGGCCACCTGGCAGGAGAGTCCTCTACCTTGACTGTGGCCTGGGTCTCAGGAGGAAGCACTGGGCAGCGCTGCCCCATCCATTCCTCCGGGAGTCGCCACAGCAACAGCCTTTCGGATAGAAAACCTCAGTGTGCTGGGTGCACCCTCCCCAGCTGGGCCAGGCTGAACATCCGGGTCTCTGGAGGGCAGCCCCAGATATCCAGGTGACACTGTGCAGCTGGCCACCCTCCCCTCCGCAGGCATGCTGGCCCCTGTCCTCACCTACCCTTGGGAGCATCCGCTTTCCACAGCAGCGTAGGCTACCCAGGGTGGCCCGAGCTGGCCTCAGTCGCATACACAGGCAGGAAGTTCAGTGCTGCTCGAGGTGAGGCATCCCTGTGCAGACGAACACTGCAGCTTGGCTGATGGGTGGAATTGGCCTGTGTGTGTGTGCACATGTGTGTGTCCACAGGGATTGTGCACATGCACACTTGTGATTAGTTGCTCGCCCAGCTGAGACCCCACCTAGAGAACTCTCCAGGGCTGTCCCAGAACACACTGTCCTCCCTGGGTTCTGATCTCTTCCTCGAGTCTCTTGATCAACTTCCTGTAATCGGAGGAACTCTGACACTTTCCCAAGAGGGGATATAAATTTAGTCTGAAAGAAAAAAGAACTGTGAAGTGACCTGGAATCCTCTGTCTGCCCCAGGGTTCCGCTGCGGAGGCCCCGCGGCCTCTCCTGGGGTTTCTGGGAGGGTGAGCCCCGAGGGTTCCCCAAAAGCATCATGGCTCCGGACTTCCTCTCGCTCCCTGTCTGTCTGACTGGTGTTTCTCACGCTTTGCTCCCTGGACTTTTATCTTGTGACTCGGGTCATCCATGCACACCACCAGCCCTTCTTCTCAGTCTGCCTTTTCCTTGCAGTCACATACACTTATTTCTTGAATTACATATTTGGAAATGAAGTTTTCAGTCCCTGCAATAAAGGGAAAACCACCATTGCTGTCACTCACAGGAGGAAGCTGGACAAGTACGCAGATGTAACCCTCGGCAAGACCCAGGTGCGCAGGGCGTGCTCTGTGAAGACCCTGCCGTCAGGGTCCTGGGATGAGCCACCAGCTGGTTTGCTAGAATTTGGGTGTGTGCCCCCTGCACTCTCAGCTCCTGCCATCCCCAACTCCCCCAGGAGCCAGAGGTCACCCACCTGTCAAGGGCCCTGAGAGGAGGAGATGGATGCAAGCACGGGCAGGTCCGCCCTTCACACCCTGGCAGAGAGAGGCTTCCCTGGGAATAAAGATGCTCCGGGGCTGGGCTCACACTCGAGTGCTGAAGCCTGAAGCCAGAGAGCTAAGAACATGTTCCCTAGACCTGGCCGTGGAAGTGTGGGCCAGCACGCAGGAGGACACAGAGATGTCAGCTCTGTTGGACCTGCTGGCTCTTAGAGCTGTGTGCTTTTGGCGCAGATGGTCCTGAGTTACTGAGGGGACGTGTAGCTCCAACTTGCAGAAGTGTGGGATGACTCACCTAAACCTGGGGCACAGTGTCTGCAGTGAACCCCAAAGCTGGCAAAGGAGAGGGTGAGGGCTTGCAGAGGAGCGGGAGGGAGGAGAGGTCCGCAGGCCAGGTGTGCAGGAGAGGCAGCAGGTGTCCCCAAGGCCAGGTGCACGGGGACAGAGGCAGGCAGGGGTGCAGCAGGGGAGAGGCATGGGAGCAGGCTGTGGAGGAAGGGCAGCTACCAAGGGCTTTGAGAAAGGCGGGGTGAGCGGGGCCCTGCCATGGTCCAGGTAGGAGCTCCCAAGGCAAGCGGTGGAGGTGGGCATGAGAAGGGCAGTTCGGAGGAGTCCAGGGAGCGGGGTGGGCAGAAGGTACGGCCATAGGCCTGGGCACACTGTGTTGGTCAGCTCTGCATTAAAGCAGGAAAGGGTTGCGCTGGTTCGTGGTTTCAGGGGCGTCAGCTCGTAGCAGGTTCCGAGGCAGAGGAAGGCTGCTCAGCTCAGGCATCCAGGGACAGAGAAAGGGCAGGAAGAGGCAGAGCGAGAGAGGAGCGCGACAGGACGCACGGATTCCAGTCTCGCCCCACCTCCCTCCAAACATTGCTCTGGTCAGCCAGCTCATCAGTGGTTAATTGAACACACAGCCAAAGTGCTTCCTCCAAGCAGGAGCAGGGAGCCGAAGCCAGAGGGGCGCTTGGGGAAGAGTCTGGGAGCGGAGCACTGGAAGAGGGAGTGCTCAGAGAGGAGCCGGCCTGGGGTGGCGGAGGCGGAGACAGAACGGTGGCTGTGGAATGACAGGGGAGGGGAAGAGATGAGAATGGTGGTGGTGGTGGAGACGGTGGTGTTGGGGTGGAGGGGGTAGAGGTGACAAGGTGGAGATGGAGGTGGTGTATGTACCTGTGTGTGTGTGTTTACACATGTACCTGTGCCCATGCCTGGCTCCACCTGCCCGCTCCGTGAGCCAACATTGCCCAGGGGTTGCCAGTAACCAGGCAAGAGACTGTGGCGTTGAGCCGCACCCTGAGAGCTCTCAGACCTAGAGGAGGCTCGGAGGCCCAGGACGCCAGCTCCTAGGGAAGCTGCAGGAACACGGCCACCTGCTGCTCAACTTCCCTCCGCTCTGCTGGGCCTTGGCCTCATGCTGGAGTCTATGTTGTCTATCAGCAAAAATCTGCTTGTCCGGAGCAGGCTGGCAGGCCGCTCATGCTCAGCAGAGGCATTCGGGGGGTCACCAAGTGATAGGGGGTCACCTGTCCCTGCACTAGGGGCTCAGCAGGAAATGGCATGGAGCCTGCTGCCATCCTCTGAGGCTCGACCTTGGTGGGGGACAATCAAGTGAGCAGCCCTCACAGAACTCAGTGAAGTGACGGACAGAGCCCTCGGGGACAGCCTCCCTGGGGCAGTGGTAGTTGGTCAGGGGCCTCCAGGCAGAGGAAGCTGCACCTGTAAAGGTCCTGTGACACAACAGAGGAGGAGGAGCCCAGAGAGAAGACCTCAGTGACCTCTCCACCCTGGGACATGCCTCATCCACGCGGGAATTACCCTATCTGGAGAGATGACAGCAGGCAGGTATTCGAGAACCCAGGGCCACCTGCACCCCTGCCTCCAGCCGTGCCCGAGGCCTCCACGTGCCAGATTCATGTACCCTAGTCCCCTCTGTCTCCTCCACCTGAGCCAAGCTGCCCAGCTCCAACATGGATGGTACCAGTCTCCTGATGAGTCGGCTCACTCCTGGGAAGCCCCTACCCATGCCCGTTTGTCCCCGGGCTTTGCTGCTGACACCCAGGTCTGTGGTTTAGCAGAGGGACCCCCAGAACTGTTGCTCAGGCAGCCAACACTGCTCAGGCAGACACACTGACCTCACCTCTGCAAGCCTCAGTTTCCCTACTTGTCATCTGTGGCTAATGAGAGCCATGGCCTCACGGGACTGGGGCAAGAATGAGCCAGGTGTGGTGACACATGCCTGCAATGCCAGCACCCTGGGAGGCTGAGACAGGAGGGTCACAAGTTCGAGTCCCATCTAAGCAACTTAGCGAGTCTCTGTTTCAAAATGTAAAAATTGCAGGTCTTTTTTTTTTGTCTTTTTCGTTTTTATTGGTACCAGGGATCGAACTCACAACCGCCCACTTGCAAGGCAGGTACTTATGCTGCTGAGCTAAATCCCCAGCCCCAAAATTGCAGTTTTTATAAAGAGCTTGGAGTGTAGCTCACTGCAGAGGCCCTGGGGCAGTGAGGCTAATCCCCAGTACTGAAGAGAAGGAAAAAAAAGCCACCTTTCCTGGACATCACTGGACCCAGCCAGTCTGACCTTTAGGGCTTTGGCCCTAAAGACCCGATTTCCTCCAGGACAGACTTCCTGCGCCCACGAAGGCAAATCCCTGTCCTGCTAAGACTGGGGCTGCACACCACGCCTCAGGCTACAGCGGAGAAGCGGGTGGCCCCTCCGGGGCTGATGCTCTCCAGGTACTTGGCTCTCTGCACTGGTCAGGAGACAGCACAGGCAGGGTTTAAAAATACTGCACTCATTTAATCCAGCACAGGAGAGAGAAAGAACACACAGTCTGCCTGTATGAGCAACTCACATCAAAAATAAATGAGGCAAAAAGAATCTCCCAAAATAGTGCGGTTTAGCAGCACCGCCTCAGTCGCACGGCCAGCTGTCCTCAGCTCTTCGGTGCGCAGCGTCACAGAGCGGCTGGAAGACATCTTGGTGGTGCTTACTCCGGAAGAGATTAAGCAGACCACCATGTGACAAGAAACCTGAATTAGCAGCACAGCCAAGCGAGGCAGGGGACACGCGGGGCCCCCAGGGAGGGTCCCCGGTCACCCCGTGAGCAGCGTGGGGGTCACCTGGCTTGCACAGCTCCTCTCTGCCTTGGAAAGGTTTCCCTTCCAGACTTAGATGTTCCCCCAGATGGACAGGCATGTGGCTTGAGCATGAGTAGAGGGCCAGGTACATAAGAGCGGCAAGTTCCACGGGCATCCTAATTCCTTATGGTGGATGTGACTTTTTTTTATGTGCTAGATCAGGGTCAGTCCAGGGGCCAAATCTGGCCCACCACTTGTTTTTGTAAGTCAAGTGTTATTGGAACACAGTCTCATCCTAGAATTTACAGGGCGTGTCTGGCCGTTTGCACCCCCGGTTTGACTAAAATGTTCGAACGCTGATGGGCCTGCTGGGCCCTGGTCCCGTGGTTGAGTGACCTAAGGAAGCACCATGAGCACTAACAGCTCCTGTTTCTGGGTGTCTTGTGTGGAGGCGTTTTTTGTAGACCAGTGTTGATTTACAGCTTTAGAACTGAAAGTTGTTTGCAGGAAATAAAGAGACACTGAATGATTCGGTTTCTCCTTGGCAAAGAACCTCTTCTAACCGGGACATGGAGTCATTGCTCAGCTGTGCAGCCCACCATGCAGGGAGACAGTGCACCCTGCCAGAAGCACCCACCTGCCACCTGCTGTCAGAGTGGCAGACACCCAGGACCCCAGCAGAGTCCTCAAGGCCACCTGCTCAGCTGCCGTCCCTGCTGTGTTCCCCAGCCCCCAGACAGGACGCCCCTCTTAGGAGTCTCTTTCCCTTCGATGGGCTGGTGCTGCCCTGCTGTCCCTCGGCTTCTGTGACTCACAGTGGAGCTATTTC